TCTTAAATTTGACATCTCTTGCCTACACACATTTGTACAGATCATCCACATGCACAGAGCACTCTTTTTTTCCTCCCTTTAATCTTAGAGATCTTATCTTCCTTGAGGTAACTTAAGGGGCTAAAACCTACCTCCTCTGTGTGGTTTTTTCCTGTTCTCCTTCCAGCTCAAAATGCTTTATCCATTCTCAAATATTCTGAGAATTCTTTTATGTCTATCATTCACTTTCCTATCAATATTCTTTCTTTCTAATCCCAATTTTATAGTTAGACATTTCAGATTCTATACGTCTTCCTCAGCTATTTATAGCTGTCTTTTCCTGTTACCACTATTTCTTGCCAAACCTCAGCCCTGAATTATTGCCACAATTTTTTTCCTCCTTGTTCTTACTCATGCTGCTATACAGCTCTCAAGTCATGCAACTGTGCTGATTGGGTGTATTAAAAATTCATATCTAAATCCAACTAGGTGTTCAGTGCAGCAAGGCAACTTATTCCTCACTAACTGATGCCCTATCTCACTCTTTGCATAAGCTATTCCAAACCTTCTATTCTCTCTTCAAGTCTCCTGCATGTTTCCCAAACCTTCTCATTCTCAGCTAAGGACTTCACCTCTTATTTTACTAACAAAACTGAGAAGTGAGCTCCCTCTTCTCCCCATCCCAAAACCTCTTCACATCCCCCACTCTGACAACGTGGTGGCCTGTGTGGTTACCAAATTTGATCTTTTCTCAATTCTCTCCTTCTCCACCTATCTGATGCATTTGACACTTGTTGATTACCCTTTCCTCCTGAATACTCTTCTCTCTGTGCTTTCATGATACTTTTCTCTCCTGATTCGCCTGTCTGTCTGACTGCTCCTTCTTGGTCTCTTTTGCTGGCCCATTATCCCTATCACCCCTCCTAAATTCTGTTGATCCAGTCCTCTTCTCCCTCTCCCTCTTCTGACAACTTCATTTGTTCTCATGTCCTATCTCTATGCAAATGACTCCTAGACCTATATATTTAGCTCCCAATCTCTCCCTGCACTGCAGTCCTCTATTACCAGCTGCATTTTGGACAATTTACACTGGATATCCTGGAGACATCAAAAAGTCAACATTTCTAGAATCAACTTTTTGCCACCCCCTCACCCCCCTTGAAAACATCAACATTCTTTAGATCTCCTGGGTTCATGCTGACATTAACTCAACTCCTCATTCTTCCTCACCCCACATATCCAATCAGTTGTCAAATCTTGTTGCTTCTACTTCTATAACAATTTTCATATCTGGCTCCTTCTCTAGACTCACAGCTGCCAACTTAGTTCAGGCCCTTATCATGTCTTGCCTAGGTTATTACAACAACCTTATTGGTCTCCCTGCTTCAAGCCTTTTTCTACTCCAGTCCAACCTACACATTACTGATTTCCTGTAAGTATAGATCTGCTCATGTCACTTCCCTACTCAAACTCTATTGATCCCTACTGGTTCAAGAATAAAATACAAATTCTTCTGTTTAATTTTTGAAGCTGCTCACAACCTGGACCCAACCTAGATTTCTAGGCACATTATCCATTGATTTCCCCTTCCACATTCTGCAAACTAGGCAAACTGGCCTCCTCTGTTCCTCAAAAACAACACTTCACCTCCTGTTTCTGAGCCTTTCCACTCGCTGTCCTCCATGCCTGGAATTCACACTTCCCTCAAAGAATCCTCTCTTCCTTCAAGACAGAGCTCAAGCACCACATTCCACATGAAACCTCCGATTCCTTCTCACCTTTGTATTTGTATTCCCAATATCCAGGCACTTAAGACAGAAAGGTGGTACAATATAGAGCCAGGTCAGAAATTAGGAAGACTAGAATTCAAATCTGGCCTCAGATACAAGTTGTGTGACCTCATGCAAGCACCTGAACCTGTTTACCTCCGTGTCCTCAATTGTAAAATGGGGATAATAGCACCTACCTCCCAGGGTGTTGTAAGGATCAAGTGAAAATCTTCCCGGCACATAATAAGCACTATGTAAAAGCTAGGTATCATTATTACCTAGCACTTACATAGTAGATACTTAATAAATGTTTGTTGATTGACTGATACTACTTATTAATGAAGCTGTATGTTAATGCTAAAGATGCCAAGGTCATCAAAGGAAAAAATTTAATATAACTTATACTTATTAAACATGTATTATGAATACATGACATACATTGATCTACATATGTACTAATTTATTTTACACACTTTGACCAAATACCAGAGCAATCTTAATTCTGACAGGTTATGGTGCTTGCTCACTAACTGAACCAGATACTAAAAGAACAGACAGATCAGCACAAATTCATCACTAAACCACCTAAGAGTGTTCTTCCGCTGACAACAGGTATTAAGAACCACTTCTGCATGTGAAAAGCATCTCTAGAAAAATTTTAGTTGCAGAGACCTTGAAATTCATTGCTGAAAATAGTATTTTGGGAATTATCTGTTTTAAAGTCTAAACATAGTGATTTAAGTTTTAACCTTCTAGTCCTTTTTCCATATATCAAGGATAACTAAGACCTGATTATGTCTACAATGACAATACTATACACATACATTGCAAATGGGGGAACACTGTGCATTAATAATAACTGACCTTCATACAGTAATAAAATGCTTCATATATATTATCTCATTTGATCCGCACAATCATCCTGTAAGGTAAATAATATAGGTATCCTCATTGTACAGATTGGAAATGAGGCTGAGAAGAGAAAAAGAGTGTCAACTTGGAGTCAGAAAGCCTGGCTTCTTGGCCTGTCACCCAATAGCTTTATTGCCACAGGAAACTTCTTCACCTCTTAAGCTTCAAGCACCTTACTTCTAAAATAGGAACAGTAATTCATTTCAAACATTTATTAAGCACTGGTGTTGGGAAATGGGTGAGACACAAAGTTTAGTTAAGTCTTTACCCTCATGAAACATTACTAAAATGACTAGTATAAAATGGTATGCAAGTGCCCGAAGGAGGTACAAATAAAATTCTGTGAGGTCTGAGGGGAGAGGGGAATTTCTGATGAAGGACTCAGAAAAGACTGCCTGGAACTGGTGGCATTTGGGTTGGGTTTTATTTAAGGAATAAGGAGGAATTCAATAGGAGAGGACAGGGGAAATAGTTGTGGAGGTAAACACTAATGAGACTTGGCAAATTAATAGACAGGAGAAACGTGGGAAAGGGAAAAGCTGAGGATTACTACCAGTTAACAAATCTGGATGACTGGAAGTATAGTTGTGCCCTCAACAAATGTAGGGAAGTTTGGAGGGGAGAGGGGTTTTGGGAGAACACAACTAGTTCTGAGTTGGACATGTTGAGATGTTGTCTACATGAGACTGGAGTTCAGGAAAGAGACTGGGACAGATATTTGGGAATCATCTGCATAGAGATAACTTAAACCCATGGGCTCCGATTAGCTCACCAAAAAGGTAAGAAAGAGAAAGTCAAGGACAGAGGCTTGGAAGATGCTGACAGTGGGTGGGAAGACAATGTCAAGTAATCAAATTCTGAGTATGCGAAATTTATGAGGCAAGAGAAAGATAATATATGTGACAGAAAACAAAGAAGGTAGAGAAGAGCTATTATGAGAAAAAAATAAGTTCAGTTGTAGTTATCTTGAATTTAAAGTGCCAACTTAATATCCTGCTACAGATGTGGAGTAACAACAGGGAGAGATGGTGGAGCTGTGAAGTCTTAACTCTTCCCTTACTGCAAACAGAAAACAGTCAACTTTCCTCATCCTCACCTCCCTCTACCCTTTTCTTCATTATATTTCTCTCTCCACTATAGCTCCTGGACCATAGCAGTTAGAGCTAGATGGGACCTTAATGATGATCTACTCCAACCCCTTCATTTTACAGGTCCAGAGAGGTTAAGTGATTTAGCTAAGAACCCCCTAGGAAGTAGAGTTCAGATTCAAGCTCAGGTCTTTACTCAAAATCCACTGCTTTTTCTACTAGACCATGCAGCTTTTTTCAGTAAGTCTTACCATAGAATACCCTTCCTGAAGCTACCTTCCCATTCTTTCAATCTGATACTCAGCAACTTCTTAAAAGAATGGTCTTTTATTGCCTAAAATATAAACTATTACACACTGTAATTTATAGTTCAGAAGTTTTTAGTTGAATCATTTAGCAGTATCATTTTGATTCCTAGAAATGGCCCAATTCTATTTACTTTATGTAACAAGTCTTATACAAGGGCAGCCATGTTACAAAGATAAAACCTCAGACTTGTTATGAAGTAAATTGTTTCCTATTAAACTGGGCTTCATTGAGACTTGCTTCTCCTTTGCCTGCCTGCCCACTTTGATTTAGCTTGGAGCTGTTCTCCCTTCCAGAGAAAATTTAAGAGTCAGCTCTTGACATTTTTGAGGGACTTAGTGAAATGCATAGACCTGTTAAAGATTACCCTTTGGCAAGGTGTAGGTACACAGTGTGAAGAACTATGTGCTTTCTTTTGGAGAAAAAAACAAACAAGACTTTAAGAGTGAAACAACATTGGCAGACTAAAGCTAATGAAACAACCTGAGATTCGATTTAAATAAGAACTATTAATGGGGTACTTATGGATATTTATTATCATTACAATTCCCCTCCCCCCTTTATAAAAGCAGGGTGTCCATGAAAATAGAAAGCTCTAGAAGCATTGGTGGTTGCTGGTTATAGTTACAGATGATGATTTCCCAAATCTTGTGTGGGTAATCTAGAAGGACTTCCTAGATTAAGTGAAATCTGTAAGACTAGTGCATCTAATGAAACCTTTTTCATATGCCAGGTGAGGTTCTTAGAAGACAAATAAAACCTTTTGGAGGGACATTAAAATAGTAAAAATAAAAGTAAAATCTCAATTTCTGAAAGAAAAAAAAACACTCCCATTTTTCCCCCTAGACAATTACATTAAATAAAAATATAAATACACTAGATATGAGAAAGCAAGTAGTGCAAAAATAACTAGCAACTTAAGAAAGACTTACATAACAGATCTTACCTTTTATTTTTCTGGGCATTTTTAAGCACCATTGTGTAATCATTATTTAAACACATGGTATGTTCTGAAATACCAAAGTGTTCCAGCTTAGGAGTTACCACTGCATACTCATCCATCTTCAAGTTGCATTTTGGAGTTCTCAACACTTTAGGGGAGGTCTGTTTCAAAGGTGTATGCATAGTTATTTGCTCTTGCTTAGGAATATTCATTGCTGGTACATGAATATTCCAATTTCTGGAAAACATATACTTTTCCAGTCCAAAATCTGAAAGTTGCGGACTACGTGGAGGGCTCTGAGAAACATGGTTATTTTGAACAGAACCACCAGATGTATCTTCTTTCTCTGTCTCAGACTTTGGAGAGTTTTTGCAGTTAGCCTCCTCTTGTTTAACATCACCAACATCCTCCTTTATCACTGAAAAACACATTCAAAATCAAAGAGATATGACAATTGTCATACATTAATATATAAAATCTTATACGCCCAAAATAAAAAGGTTCTAATTAGAATTGCTTAGATGAGTCTAACTTCTGCTGGTTTCAACCACAGCTTTCCCACATTTCATTTTAAAAATGTGTTCCTGTAGAAAAGATAGATGAAAAGAAACAGATAAAGAGTTTGAGTCACTCTTCCTTATTTTCTGCTACAGAGCACATTATTATTTGCCAGGTTCTCTTACATACTATTTTAACACTTTGATCTACTTACTGGTTTATCATGTAAATAACAAGAGGCAATGTGATATAACACAGGGATATGGACTTGGAGTCTAGGAGACCTGTGTACAGGTCTTTTTTTGGACACATACTAGTTGTGTGACTCACTCATCTTTAAGACTTTAAATAATGAAGTTCTTCATCCTGCATTGGCGGATGGAATTTTCTACACAGATGAAATCATTGCTCCAGACTCAAATATATATAGTATGAAAATATTTGTGTTTATACTTTAAAATACCTTGCATTACACAAGTTTTTTTTTATCCTTGTGTTCAAATAGAAAGGAAATTATTATATACAAATGAGAAAACTGGAGCATAGAGAAAACAACTAACAATGTTTAATTACAAACCCAAGGCAGGCTAACGTGAAAATCCAAAATGGACTGACTTTAGGTCAAATTACTTCTTTCTATTTGATTTTTCACATACCTCTTTTTTCCAAAGGACTCAATATATTTTCACACCTGTCATTTTGTTTTGTCCCTATAGTATCCTGTGACAGCACAAGCTCAATGATTCCCATTTTAATGGATCTAGTTAACTGAGATCAGAAGTTAAATGCCTAGTCATAAAACGGGATCAGAAAGCTTTTATCTTGAGTTTTTTCCATTTTACCATACTGTCTTCTATGCTACTTAGACTCTGAAGTTTCTTCATCTGCAACATGAGGTGGCAAAATGAGATAATCTGTCCCTTCCAACTCAACACTCTATCACCCTATGACACTAAAATAATTCATTATGAAGTAAAAATTATTCAAACCTGGATCTTCCATAGCACTTGGCTTATATCCATATTTCTGGAATAAGTCTCTTATTTTTGTGATATCCATTTTATTCCTTTCCATCAGTAATTTGGTGTTCTTTATAAAATTGTTGCTTTCTTCCCTCTCCAAATGACTTTTACCCAGAAGAATATTAACATCATCCTAGGGAAAATATATATGACCAACTTTTGGTGATCTGCTATTAGAATAATGGGAGTTACAAAACACTGAAACAAGACAAATTAACATCGTCCAAATGATACCTTTAGAGTCTTCACTTCCAAATGCAAGTCATGTAAAATTCTCATTGGAGAATCTTCAAAGTCTGTGATATAAATGGCAAGGAAGGAAAAATACCCAATGGAGTCAGAAAGATGAATAGAAGCCATAAGACATAACAGTATGTTATCCTACCTTCTATGCTTATTAATATTTTTAAACATTTTCTTGCTTTCTTTTTAAAACACAACTTGCCCTTTCCTCACCCTCTACCTACTCCCTATTAATCATCAAAATTATACATTTAGAGATGGAAGAGATCCTGTAAGTTCATTTAATCCAATTCTCTCATTTTATAAAGGAGGAAACTGGAACCTTGAGGGGTGAAGTGACTTGCCCAAAGTCACATAAGTAAATAATTCACCAAGTCAAGATTTGAATCCAGTTCCTTTGGTTCCAAATCCAGGGCTCTTTCCATTGCACCAGGGTGTGAAAAGACTGCTAGTCTCCAAGTCATAAGGCCTGTGTCTCCACCTCTGTCACTCCAAGTCACTACCTTCTCTGGGTCTCAGTTTTCTCATCAGTAAAATGAGAGTTGGATTTAATCACTTAAAAGCTCTTTATGAAGGGCCTCCTCCTGACTCTCTCCTACCTTTCCAGTCTTCTCATACTTTACCCCCCTCCACATAAGAGACTGTTCCTTTCATGCGGATACTCTCACAGCACACTTCATCTCCCGACTCCACGCCTTTGCCTCGGCCGTCTCCTATTCCCGGTATGCTTTCCCTCCTCACTTGCGCTTCCTAGCTTTTTAGACTCAGCTCAAATCCCACCTTCTTTAAGAGAGGCCTTCCCACGTCCCTCACTGTGGGGGTGAGTTCTGAAATAGGTCAACACATATTTATTCAGAGCCCACGATGTACCAGGTATTGCGCTAAACGCTGGGATACAAAGAAAGGGCCACCCCACCCCCGACCCCAACCTCGAGGAGCTCGCAATCCAGTGGGGACACGCTGATCGCTTTTTACAAACAAGCTGTGTACAAATTAAACTGGATCTGATCGGCAGAGGGAAGGCCCAGAACTGCCTCCCGTTTACCTGGCATCTTGTATGGGCAGTTACTTGCCTACTGCCTCCCCCATCAGACTGAGCTCCTTGAGGGGCAGGGATCTCGTTTCTGCCTTTTATTGTACACACAGCACTTAGCACACGGTTGTTGACCGACGGGCTGACCCCCCTCCAGCTCGCCTCACGTACACAGAACGCAGGCGCGGGGGCGCTCGCCGTCTCGCCCAGAGACGCGCCCTCGCCCCTCGCCCCTCGCCCCCCTCACCCTCATCTTCTCCGTTCAGCGCCCGCTGCAGCTGAGCCGTCTCCCTCTCCAGGGTCACGGCCAGGTCACGCAGCTTCCCACAGAACTTTCCGACGGGATCCATTGGTACAGTTGGGGAGGCTCCGGCCCAGCATCCAGCTCGGAACGGGTATCCGGAATCGCAAGTACCCCCAGACCGCTCCGCCAGGAAACTCCGCGCGGCGCCGTTAGTTTGAATCCCTCCGCGTCCCAAACTGTATTGGTTCGGAGAGAGGGCCTTTTCCCGTTCCTCCCCTCGCGAGACCGGAACTCTCGCGCGAGTAGAAGGAGGAAGGCGATTGGCCACGGCGGCGCCTAAGCGTCTTGGCCGGTTTCCACGCTGCGTCAGTGCGCTGCGGAAGTCGAGGACTGCGTTTTGACTTGGGTACCCTCCTCGCCAGGTAACTTTGGACACACACGGGCGCTTTGCCCCGGCGGTCGGTGGCCGCCAGCGGTCGGAGAGGGAGGAGGGCGGTGTGCGCGGCGCGGTAGCCTCTTCGAAGGGGCACCGCGCGCTCAGGCCGTTCTGTCCCTTCCCCTCAGGCACCATGTTCCTGACCGTTCTCTTGCGCGGCAGCCGGATCCCCGGGAAGCAGTGGATCGGGAAGCACCGCAGGCCGCGGAAGGTGACCTGGGGGATGAAGCAGGGCATGATCCGGCGGCTGGAGATCGAGGCGGAGAACGAGTACTGGCTGAGCATGGCGTACATGACCAGCGAGCAGGAGTTCAACCATTCCGCCGCCCGCAGGCGAGAGAATTTCGAGGCCATCAAGCTGGCGCAGGCCGCCAAGTTCCCCCCGCACAGGCTCTTCGAGGACCAGCTCAGCCATCTCAACGTCTCCAAGAAGTGGTCCTGAGCCGCCGCCGCTGCCCCTGCCCCGGACTGCGCACACCGGGAGCCGCGCCGCGGAAGCCTTCTGTGGCAGAGGGCTCGCAGGCCCTCGCCTCGGGCCCCCGGACTCGCGTGGCTCCGGTCTGTGGGAGGAGGCGGCGGAGGCGGCTCTTAGGACGTTACCCGAACCGCACGGAGGCTGAAGCCGAAATGTTCTGGAGGGAAGAGTCAATAAAGCTACAAACTATGCTTTGTTGTTCTGTGTTGAAGGAGAAAATTCTGGGGAACGGGTGAGGAGGGGAAAGAGTATTGTAAGTCATAACATTCGCTTTCCATCAGAGTTCAGGGATAGTGGTTTAATTTTTTTTTTTTAAATAAGCCAGGGTTTCTTAACTTTTTTTGTTTGTATGTCATGGAGCCCTTTGGCAGTCTGGTGAAAATTGTAGACTCCTCAGAATGTTTTTAAAAGCACAAAATACCCAGTCATCTTGAAATGCTGTTACCAAAATAATAAAAAAAACCCAAAACACCACATAGGGTTTAAGGACCCCTAAGGTTAAGAATCCCTGGTCTAAGCATAAAATTAAAAAAAAAGCACTGAATTTTTGCGGTGGCTAAAATTGTTCTTACTGAAGAACTATGTAAAAATGAGTGAATTTAGGTGAAAAATTTAAATATAATAAAAATATCATCGTAAGAGGATTAGTCTGTCAATTGTCCTAATTTGTGTAGATGAAAGGATGGATCTGGATATGTTACCTCAATAAATTCCAATGACTCCCTCTTTGGAGGATATGGAGAATTTCTGTAGAATCATATTTAATCTCTAGCATTTAAATCCCCTTACAAATTGGCCCTGGTCTGTCTTTATGGTCTTACTACACTGCTATATTTGGAGTTGGGTTCTTGGGTTTAGTGCTGCCACTATTTTAACACTGTGAGCCTCAGTTTCCTCATTTGTAGAAAGAAGGGAGTTGGAGAAGGAAACCTCCAAAGCCAATGACCACGGCTGAACATGGCTTGGAAAAAATAGCTTTGTACCTGCTTTGTCTTGACAGTGCCTTTTTAAAGTATTGTATCCCCTCTAACTTCTGCATAAATGACTTAATTAGTGGTAAGTTTTAAAGAACATGGTAAAAGGTAATTTTATTATGAATATATTACTGCATTGTTTCAACTTAACATTGGTGGCGTTTGTGAGCTGGTTAATCTGTATAAAGTGATTGTACATAGCAAACGTTCATATTTTAGTGGATTCTTTGTACCTTGCACAAGTAAGTACCTTCTGGGGAAAAAAAACTGATGAATTAAATATTTATAGCCTTTCATATTAAATCATTAATTTGTGGTCCTGTCTCACCTCCCATCCCTCTAAAAAAAGAAGGGAGTTGGACTAAATCATCTTAGTCTATGATCTTATCAAGTAGGAGAATAGGGTATAGAAGCAAAGGAAGAAATTTTGAGGGAAAGAGTTGTCATTAATATCAAATGGCAACCAGAAGGCCAATGAGGTTGAAAATTTGGTAATTGAGGTGATTGGTGTCCTTTGAGTAAATAAGAGTGGGTCACGAATATGTAAAAGGTAAAAAGCAGAGTCTTGTATTTTCACATCTGGTGGAAATTAGGAATAGAACTAGGATTGTTTGTTAAAGATTTAAACAAGTGAGCATATTCATTCTTATTTTACTTTCCAATTCATGCTTTTTTTTTTTTTTTAACATGAATTCATCTTTCATCACCATTAAAAAATGAAAACATTTCAATTTGTAGTAAGGTCTAGAGGGAAAAACTTGGGATTTAGAATCAGGAGACCTAGCAATATCATTTAGTACCTGTGACAGTGGTCAGTTCGCTCTTTGACAGGTAACATCAGACCCAGTCAGGGTGCCTTGCCTGTTTCCTAATCTGTTAATTGAGGATAATAACTTTTTTTTTTTGTCCTGGTTACAGAGTTGTGAAGAAAGCACTTTGTAAACCTGACAACAGTATATAAATGTGAGCCATTATCAGAGTTCTTAACATTGTGAAATCTTAAAGTACTATCCTAACTAGATAACAATTGTTTGGGTTTTCAGTTGGGGTTTTCTTGGCAAAGATCCTGCAATGGTTTGCCATTTTCTTTCTCCAGCTCATTTTACAGATGAGGATACTGAGGCAAACAGATTAAGTGACTTGCCCAGGGTCACATAGTGCCTGAAGCTAGGTTTGAACTCGAAGATGGAAGACTTCCCGACTTAAGGCCTGGCACTCTATTTCTTCACCACTTAGCGGCCCACGATAGCTAGTATGTATATAGTAGTTAAAGGTTTGCAAAGTGCTTTCCATGTTGCCTCTTTTGATCTTCACAACCCTGTGAGGTAGGTGCTATTACTATCATCCTCATTTTAAAGAGGAGGAGGCTGAAGCATTACTCATTTGAGTAGAGTTTCTTAAAATATATTTGCTCCTCCATGGGGCAGGTAGGTGGCGCGGGCCCTGAAGTCGGGAGGACCTGAGTTCAAATGCGGCCTCAGACCAAACACTTAACACTTACTAGCTGTGTGACCCTGGGCAAGTCACTTAACCCCAATTGCCTAAAAAACAAAAAAAAATTCATATATTTGCTCCTCCCTATGATTCCAATCCAGATCCAATCAGTCTGTCTCCATTCTACCCTTCTTGACTTATTTAACATTAATCCACTTCATTTTTCTTATTCTAGTCAAACTGGCCGATTTGGTGTTTACTTGAATTTGGCATTCCTTTCCCACTGGCTTACCTTTCTCTGTGCGGGGTATGTACAGTTTCACCTTTGCTTCAGAATTCTTACCATCCTCTAAGACTCATCTCAGGTGCCATCTCTTATAGGAAGCCTTTCCTGATCAACCTAGTTATCAGTGCTCTTTCCCTCCTCAAATACTATTTACTTATCTACTGCTTTCCTCCAATAGAATGTTTGTTTCTTGTGGGCAGGGATTGTTTTTCATTTTTGCTTTTGAAGCATCTAGAGCACCTTCCACTCCTTGTGCACACTTGTGTGTTTGTTTGCTTCTTAAACCAGACCTGTGATTTCATCAGTGCAAGAAAACCTGAGCAAGGAAATTCCCTTTACTAATAAAATTAGATCATCTACTGCCTGGGGCACAGTGGATAGAGTGCTGAGTCTGGAGCTGGGAAGACTTACATCTTCCTGAGTTCAATTCTGACCGTAGACACTTACTAGTTGTGTGACCCTGGGCAAGTCACCTGTTTGCCTTAGCTTTCTCATCTGTAAAATGAGCTGGAGAAGGAAATAGCAAACCACTCTAGGATCTTTGCCAAGAAAACCCCAACTGGGGTCATGAAGAATTGGACATGACTGAACAATAACTGCCCTATACTTTGTATTCAGAGAGTTGTCTGGGGTCCTGAAAAGTTGTGACTTGTTAAGGTCTCACAGCCAGTATATCATAGATTATAGATGTATGTTTGAATAGACTTCAAAGGCCATCTGGTCCACTCCCCCATGAGGTTCATGGAAGTTAAATGACTTTTTCAATCACAAAAGGTAGTGTCAGAAGTAGGATTTGAACACAGGTCTTTGTGATTCTGAGTCCAGCTCTATGCTTCACAGTGTTTCCCTGCCTCATACAGAGAAGCAGCTTGTTGAATTAAATTAAGGTTAGAAGAAAGGAGGAAAATGACAAAGGCCTCAGAGGACCTTAGAGCCCTCAACAGTGACTTCTCACTATCCTGGTTCATTCCAGCACCTTGCCACGAACATTTCATTTATGGCTTCCTAAAAGTTGAAGACAATGATCTTAGGTCTAGATTGTCTAGTTTAACTTAATTTTACAGAGGAAGAAATTGAGGCCTACAGAGGTCATATATTTGGAGAGATCTAAGCATCAAGTAAAAGCTCACCTTGTATATGTAGATTATAAGCGCATTTTCTCACATAAAGATAGTACAAGCGTTATCCTATTTGCAGGTAGGAAAATTGAGGCTCTGAGGGATGGTGCTGTTCACTGTCACATATCCAGTTGTAGTGCCAGGACCTGAATCCAGGTTTTCTGATTCAAAGTCCAGTGTTTTTTTTTGCCATACAATACTAAACAAAACATGGCAGTCCAGCTTTAAGGGATGATCAGGGAAATGAGGTCTTATAATTTTTCTTTATTCATTTAGCCTTTGGGGGAGGGAGGAGAGAAGACAACTATTGTTGAAACTTTGCATTCTCTTCCCTCTAGAGTTAAAAGTCTACATATTACAGTTATCCCTTCCACATCGTGCCTTTCCCCATTGTGGTTTTGATATATCATGGGTCGGCATAAGAAATTAAATGGGATTATTTTGGGAATTTTGCAGAAGCTGCAGATGACATGTGAAGGCCAGCAAACGACACAGAAAAGGTTTAGAAATTCAGAAATGCGTAAAATATATGTATAGCATTGTATAATACCAACATTTTATCTTTTAATACCATAACAATTCAGGTTGCTTTTCTGGTACAAAGGGAGGACCAAAAAATTTTACGCACATTTGAGGGGTGGCTGGGTCCCTAACCACTACTGTAGAATATATAGTAGTGATGAGCAGAACTGTTTAAAAGTTCCTTGTCCATAGTCAGATGCATATTATTATTGAAAAATGTCTGTGGCCAAAATATGAGCATAGTTCCTTTAGCATAGGTATAGCCAAATTCCCTGTGAGTTTGGTTCACAAAATCTTGGGCCCATCTTCTAGATTTCTGAACATTTTACCATAGTCAAGCGATTGATACATAGGATAAATGAATAAGGGAACACTTTTCTAAGATGAGTGGACTCTGCATGGGTAGGGATAATGTGTGATGAACTGGGGTGTCTAAACTGCAGATAACCAAATTACTTTCTCATAATAATTAGGAGTTTGCAGTCATCACTCTCCTCCCTTTACATCAGTTATTTTAAGTGTCTCCCAATAAACTGCAAGTATTAAGCCTACAGAGTTGTATCTATCTTTGTACCTCCAAATCTATATCATAGTACTTTGCACTTAATAAACTTAATGTTTGCTAAAATGAATTAACCTTATTTTCAAGTTGATCAAAGCTAGTGAGTATGCATAATTTAAAATAAATTAATATTTAATTTACATTATTTGCTGAAAGGCCTAAACAAGCAGAATACAAGCTCTGGCAAATAAACGCTGGTAAGGTTTTGAGTGTGGGCTCTCTGGTGGACTGTATGCCTGTCATCTCATTAAGAGAGGTTCATCACAGGTTGGTCTCTTGCTGATAAATTTTTTCAGCCATAGAAATCTTCATACAACAGAAACATAATTACATGATTGTGATATGCATTGATGGAGGGAATCATCCATACTAATAAAACCATGGATCATTGAAGTATTTGGTAAATGTGACTTTTGGACAAAGACAATGTTAAAGTACTTAATTTCTGGATTTTAATAAAGTCATCAAACATAATTTTTTGAAGGAAAAAAAGAAACAAAAATGTTTTATATTCATGTTAATATCTAAATAGTTCAAGAAGTTTAATGCAAGTTTATTCAACATTAAGTAATGGTCCAATGATACATTTGTGAAAAACTATACATATGACTTATGATACAAGTAAAAATATGAATAAACCCAAAACAAATGTATTTAAAATCTGTTTATATAAAAGCATTTCTTAAAAAAACATTTCAAAATATTACAAGTGGCCATGTTTTCCTTTAAGTAGGAACAGTCTCATCTGCAATCATATACAAATATAATAAACTTGACATATTTCATGGTTCTGTATGACCCATAGACTTAAATACAGTTCTTTGCTTCTTTATGTAACACAATATAATAATGTAAGATGAAGTCATTAGAAAAATATGGACTTTTAAAAACTTATTTAGAATTCAGGTTGAAAAATACATAATCTAGATACTATGGAACACAGATTTCATTTTTACATATTTTTAAAAATCATAATGCAGTATTGGGTATGGTCCTTATTCTGGCTAAAATGCAAAAATGTCATGAATTTAATACCACCTTAAGAGTGAAATGATGTTATATGCTCTGCAAGTATTTTGGTGTACAGAATGTGATTCTGTGACCTAGGCAAAAATGCAAACAGTAGAAATCTGAAGGACACTGTCAATTCTTAGGTCCTAGCAATTTAGAAATCCTAACACTAAGCCCTTAACACATCTGCTTTAGAGATTAGTGTGTAGAAATCCCAAATATTTGATGGTCTAATAAGTGATACTGCAAAGATGGTCAAAATCAGCTACCTTGTGGAAACAAAATTCAAGTAACCATTGCATATTAGATATAAAATGACAATGATCATTTATGTTACTATGATCACTACATATGTAAAAATACATTAAAAGCAGACCCCTACATAAAGATGATCCTGGACTTTTGTAAACAAGTTCACCTGCTCTTTGGTTTCATGTAGTGATACTGATAGGATCCTGTATATGCTGAATGTCTAGCTAAATTTAAGATAGAAAATCTTTTCTAATTTGTTAACTGAAAAGAGTAACTACTTGGAATTCAATTTTATTTTCTCCAATTACCCTAATTTTTTAAAGTATTCAAAGGAAAAAAAGTAGTACTTTTGATTTGTAAACAGATAGTCTTTTAAAAAAATTGTCTTCTTGAAATTGATTAATAGTATTAGTTAATGCCAGAATAAATACAGATGTAGCAGCCTTCCCTAAACCAGTCTACTCACTGCCCCTGATTTTTTCAGTACTGGATCATTAGGAAACAGGCACATATTCAGTCAAATATTATTCCAGAATGGTGCTAATGTTACTGATATACACTAAGATCAGATCATACATGCTGATAGGTCAAATTCAAACTACACAGGCTTACAATAAGGGATGGGGTTGGAGCTTCATGTGCTAGTTTTTCAAAGAATTAACTGAAGTAAAAGGATTTGAAAGAGATACCAAGCACCATAAAAGTACCTGTACAAGTATGATGATGAAAAAACATGCAGATCAAAGATGTCTTCCTAAATATGAAAGGCCAAACAATGGACAGAAGCACCAGTAGAATATTTCTGATTACAATCACATCATTTGAACATTTATCTATAGATATCTAAAGTGAATGCTGTCAGATTAAACTAGTTGGTACATTTGACTGGTAATGAAGTTCCTTTCACATCTTATTTAAGATTGATCCAAATTTGAATAAAGCCTAATAAGACTAAAGAATAAAACAGGGCATAAATTAATACTCTAGAGTTTACCAACTGGATTTTTAAAGCTTATTTATTCCTTTTGTTCTCAAGGAAGTAGATAATTTTGAAAGCCGATGTTGGTTGAATAATTCAAAAATTAGGTAAGTCATCTATAAAGTATGACCAGAATGTTCAATATTAATCAGCGCTAAAATGTGGAATTAAATAATAATGCTTGAACTGGCTAAGTCATTTTGGAAGCATTTAGCAAGCAACATATGTAAGCTCTTTTTTAGAGAGAGAGGTGGTGTGTGAGATAACTTTCCAACACCTATGTTTAGATAAATTAAAAGGCTTAATCTTTTAAAAACTCATTGCCAGAAACAATTACAATTACAAACAAACAATTCTGCTATTGAAAAATAGCAGAAATTATTCCTATGCTATTTCCAATGAACAAATACATGTTACATATTAATGAAGATGAATCCACAACCTGTGTGTTATTAGATTTTAAAAGAAACCTCCCCCCAAAAAGTTTTTATCCAACCAACATTCAAAGCCATATTTCATTTCTTAGGAAGTAGGGAATATTGTGTTGAAGATGGACTAAACAATTTAGAGTCTATATTTCCTGAGGTTAGCCAGTTTCCACTTTCATTAGTGGAACAGAATAATTTCCTAATTTAAATGAAATTTAAATGACACTAAAACACACTTTCAATGTATTACATTCTAAAAAAATGTAGGGAAAATGTCACTGCCCTGCCTTGCCCTGCCCAAGTTTACTTATGCCTTGGTCCTCTATCTACAAAGTATTCCCCATATTACTCAAAGGACGTAAGAATCTTCATGCAGCAAATGTACTTCAGTTTCCCTGCTTGTACAAAATCCCCTGAATATCTCCAGAGAGCAGAATGAGGCTAAAATATCCCTTTAGCTCCACGCTGCCAGGTTTCCATTAAACCCTAGTCACATGCTACTCTGCATGGCATATGACTAGGACCTATGAATGTTGGCTTATTTAATGATTGTAGTCAGGTACTTCACAACCACCAATAAAAAAGGCCTTTATTAAAAATGATAACAGTATAAAACTATTTAAAAACTTGCAAACTCTCAGTATAAAACGCAAGAATTCTCTGTAATCATATTTCTTATTCAGTACAAATTTTCAAGAGGAATGCTATTCTTACTAATGAATTTCAGCCATGTATAGAACTGCCTGTATCTACTTCCTATATCAGAATTCCATTTGCCTGTTTTTCTGGAGTATCAATTTTTACATATGCTAAGATAACTGTGATGTTATTCATGCTTTAAAAAAATTATACACTAAGTTAAACATCTGGTGTGATAAAACATACTATTGCATTTTATGAAGTAATTATTTTTTAAAAAATCAAGTCACTTTCGAGCAGGATAAGTCAGTGTTGCATAAACACACATTTAGGGTTCTTAAGGCATCTGTCTTATTTCCTGCTCAGCAGTAATGTTTATGAGCATCAAATTATCTGTACAGAGACTTCATTTTCATACATCTTATATAATATTTGATTTGTTTCATTCCACTGATCACTTCTTCCAAATAAAATAAAAAAGAATTCAAGGAGAATATGTTGCACAAACCTATTAAAAAACACAAATGATTAGTACTTGATTAAAAACTTGATTTTATATTTTATTAAAATACATAAGTAATCGGGTTCTGAAGATGGGCCTGAAGCTAGGTCTTCTGACTTCTCATCTGCTGCTCCATCCACTATACCACACTGCCTCACAGGAAGCACAAATCACGTATGTTAGATAAACAATCACCTTATTCTTAAAAATAGGGACTCCTAATTATTAGCCATATATATATATATATATAAAGAGAGCGAGGAAGAGAGAAGAGAAAAGGGGTGGGGGGAGAGAGACAGAGATAGAGAGACAAAGAGAGTGACACAGAGAGAGAAAGAAATAGAGACAGAGAAAAAAGATTCTACCACCTCTCTCAGGACTCAATTTAGTGCTTAAACAAATTTCACTGTCAAGAAATTAATACTTATGTCAGACAAATGTTTTTGGCTGTAGTTTAAACTAATTTCCTCAAATTCTTTCTTCTGAGAACATGAGGGACAGCTGGTCAGCACCCTTTATATATACCTGAAAAGAGTAAGCAGCTCAACAACCTTTTATCTTTTCCACATTAAATATCACCACCCCTTATCGATCTCACGGCTCATAATTACTTTAGTAATTCTTTGGCTTATGTTTCTTCTCTAATTATGACTAAGATGAAAAAGGGCAAAAATTACTTGTTAAATAGTTAATGAATTGGTTTTTTTAAACAAATAAAGAGCTTAGTTCTTTCTATACAAAACTAAATTGTTCTTCTCAGTTTTATTAACCAATCAGTTAACAAATCTTGAGGACTAAGCTACTAGGAACAATGAAGAGGTGAAACTTGTCAAATGCTCAGGCTAGTCTACTGATCACATAGAGAACTATACTGGTACTGCTAATATAAACAAACTTTTTTCACAATTATTTAAAAATCAACCATTTTTGCAATTACAAAATGTGCATATAAATTCATTTCTGTAATAAAGAAATTGCCTTTATGTTAATCTTACCTTATTCTCATTCAAAGGATAATAGACCATCAACTTTCTATTGAAACTGTAACATGGTTCTTTATCCCTAAAAGTAGATTGCCATACAAAAAAAGTTACTCCATTTTGAAACTAGAAGGCAGACTAAGTGTCAATACAATGATGCCATTTATATGCCACTCAGAGGTCTAGCATCCTCAGCTGTCCAAAAGCCAATAAACTCATAAATAAGCAATAGTCGAAGAAATGAAATCATATTTTTGCTAACAGTTGTGAAAATGCAAGTTATATTTCAGGATATTGCAATCTTCGACGATTCAAGTCCATAAGATGGTGATGTTTCCCCGTAAATTTAAAACAAATGATGTAGTGGGCAGGATGAAGCTGACAAAGAAGGCAAGCTTATATGAGGGTTTAAGTAAGTAAATTTTAAGACACAACCTGAGGCTAGTATATACTTAACCAGAACCATTACATGTTATTCCCCTCCCAGCCTGGTTCCGGACTTATACTAGACCCATGCTGGACCCTCCTAAAAACTCTGCTCAGCATCCGGGATCTCCTCGACCTGGAACTCCTTAGTATGCATACAATCCATTCACCCTGTTTATCCCTCGGGTTGCACTTCCCTCTCCCATTGGTGAATTCCTTTTAGAGCTTCCATTTTGTGGAGGATCCTAGGCTAGTCAGCCTTCATTTCCCTCTTGGTCCTATTCTTGACTGTTCTCTAGATTTCAAAATCATGCGCCCTCTATTGCTGGCTCACCCTGCAACTTTCCTCAGAGTCTAGGGCCTTTTTGACCTGAAATAGTCTACCACCCCAGAAGCCTGATCACCTCAGTATATCCCTCTGCAAGTGCCATTTCCTTTTTCCCACAGTGAGTTCCTCCAGGTGTCTCCATTGTGGAGAAGCTGAGGCTGGACTACCTTCATTCACCAATCCCCATCCTCCACACAAAAATTTAAATAAAGAAAAGAATAATTTGAAAAACAGCTTTGGTTTTTTTAGTTTTTCTTTCTCCTCCTTCTTCTCTCCCTATTTGCCCAGGCTAGAAATGCAGCTGCCAGAGCCCTTTTGATTGGCACAGAAGCTTTAACCTACTCATTTTTTCCCAGCAGGAGCTGTTCACCTCAGCCTGGTGGCCTTTAGCTCCTAGGGGCTCATCACATACATGCCAGACTTTGTGCAGAAAGCTTTAGTCCTATATAGTTCAGAACTCCCAAACTCAAGGAATCTACTGGTCTCAGCCTCCCCAGTAGCAGGGACTATAGATGTGTGCCACCACACCAGCTCAGTCTTTTCAATAATAATTCCATTAATTTTATGATAAGAGCTCATCATACAATAAATATTTGTGCCCATTTAGAAATTACTATATTTTACCTATATCACACCAAATTACTGTTATACCTAATCTGAGGGAAAACACACACACACACACATCTATATATATACATATACATCTATATATACATCTATATATAATACATAATATAATAGTAAAATCAGAAGAGTTAGTTTTAAGCTTAAACCTGCACTAAGACTTTGGGACACTTATGTTTTCAGAACAGAATATAATAAATATGTATTACCTGATCTGACATCTTGATCTGATCCAGTGGCCAACAAGAAATTTTTTGATTCACTAAGTGGCCCAACAGGAAAGTTTTGAGTTGATCCAGAACTGAAAAGAACAACAAATAATGTATTTAATTATTTAAGATTAATCAACAGTACTTCATAAATTTGGTAGCAATTTAAAATATCAGCCTAGAACTGGTAACACCTGATACTACCATCATCGTGTCCTTTCCCCTCTTGTATTACTCCCCTTATCCAACTCTGGGATAATGAAGTAGCCAATAAACATTTATTAAGCACCAACTATGTACCAGAGACTGGGCTAAGTGCTGGAGTTACAAAAAGAAGCAAAAGACAGTCCCTGCCCTCAAAGAGCTTACAATCTAATGGGTAGACACTTGATGGAAGTAGGGGATGGGGGTGAGTCACTAAAACAGACTGCAAATGTAGACTTTCCAACTAGCCTACCTTTTGGTTTTGATTCATGAATTCATTATGTAACATAGCAAGGAGGGGCAACCTCATCATGTGAGATCAGGCTGAAAGATGGTGGCAGAACGCACCTGTTATGAGATGAGGAGGGGCAAAAAAAGGAGCTCTTAGTGAAAAGTTTCAGTTGTTTCTCTAAAACATGAGGCAAGGTTCAGAGTTGAGAGGATAGGAGTTCTGAAGAAGGATGAAAAGGCTTGGAAAAGCTGCTATGGTGAGTGGAATAGTGATTCAGTTCGGGAAGTGTAAAGGACTGCCTTGCATCAGTGAAGACCCAGCTGAAGTCATGTAACACAAATCTGTAGTAGATCTGGTCAGCACCATGATTTTTCTATGGCTTCTTTTGATCTCTTGGACAACAGCCATAACCACTCAAAAGAATTCAGTCTAACCACGTAAACATGAAAACCAAATGGCTGAAGGATGCCTTCCCCTCGGATTGTCCAGATTACGGTTTGCAGTTAGATGGACTTGTAGAGCTTGTTTGTATGAATGCAGATGCTTTGGATATATGGTGTAAACAGATAATGAACTGGGCCTAGAATTAAACGGGGGGAAGAGAGCTTCTTGTGTTGCCTCTGGGAAAGTGCAAAGCTTTTTTAAAGACCCCCCACTCCCCCAAGAGGCTCATCTTTTTAATACCAATATTCTACCAGCACTGTTAACATGGATGTAAATCATGGAATACTACATTCTCCGAAGAATTAAAAATGATTATCACTAAAAGGTTAATGGGTGTCAGCAGACTGAATATATAACAAGTAAGAAATTACAAAATAAAAATCAAGGAAGAGATGATAAATGTATAATTAAAAAAGAAAGTGGGTTTTAATGTGGGCTTAGAGGGCAACAACTGATGGACAGCTCATATGCTCCAGTGTCATCTTCAAAATGTAATGAGAAAGTGAGCAAGGTCTTCTGCATGATGGGTGCAACCACTGGGTCTGTCTTCTGAGAGAACATGGACTCGTGTCGTATAAGGACCTCTTCATTTCTCATCACACTGTAATCTGGACTTCTCCATCATGTCCCAGAAGCTCTTCATCTTGAAGATCACTTAAGCCCTAGAACTCATACCTCAGAACTACGCCTCATCCCCCCGTGGCCCCTCCCTCTGATTGGATAGCTTCTCCTAGAATCTCCAGTTAAGGAGGACAATTTCTTTATTTCTCACCAGGCTATATACCCTGGATTCTTTTATCATGCCCCCAGGCCAGGTATCCTACCCATTCTTTCTTCAGCTCCTTTTAATATATTGCCTTCCCCATTAGAATGTAAGCTCCTTAAGGGCAGGGACTTTCTTTTTGCTTGTATTTTGTATCCTAGGTGTTTAGCTCAGTGCCAAGCACATAGCAAGCACTAAATAAATGATTGCTGACTGACCAACTGACAGGTCAGGCAGGTAGGGGTAGGTCCTGTCTGTATTATTAGAGGGAACAACTACATGGATGAGATCCCAGATTAATGAGTATTTGAGTAGTAGAACACCTGAAATGGCAAGAAATAGATGAAGATACTTTTTCGCAGTTTTGAAAATCTACTTAGCAGAGGAGAGTACTCTGGTTATTGTCTCTCTTCTAACACCTAGCAAGTTTGAACTGCCGTGAAAAAACAAGAGCTAATACCTTCTAAACTCTTTTAAGTGTGATTAATTGAAAAAGCTTGTGAAGGCTATGTCCAAGCAGAGAAGAGAAGAGTCCCCTGCTAATGGGTGGCAAGAGTCAAAGCAGGCAAGCAGTGAGCAGAGAAGCAATTTCCTGTGGTGCAGATGTTCCTGGATGGACCAGTAACACTGAAGCCTGAATTAGAGTCGTGAATTACCCTAAATACGAGTTTTCTTCTCTCATGTGCTTCCAGGACAGATTCTTATAAGGGATGCCAACTCTTCATCATACTTATCAAGCACATTGGTGGAAGAGTATGACGGGAGTTTATAGGAACACTGTGATATATATTATTTATACATTTGCTTTAACATATTAGTCGTTCACTCTCCAGCACATAGTAATCATGATTCAGCTAACTTCTCCCTCCACTTCTGTGCCCCCCTTCTTTCTTTGCCCGTATGGCCCCATTGTACTATTGGTGCAATCCTCCTGGAAACTTCATTTTGAGGAGAAGCCTAGACCAATTATCCTTTACTGTCATGACTTTGCCACCATGTCCCTACACAGGTACTTTCCTCCACCCTCTCCTCTCCATGGTCTCCCTTTTCAGTTTCGTTTTATGTATAGTCTTCCCTAGTTAGAAAGTAACCTCCTAGAGAGTAGAGATAGTCTTTCTTTTGCTAAATTTGTATCCCCAGTGCTTAGCACAATATTTGGTACATATCAAGTACTTAAAATGCCTGCTGACTTGATATATTAGTATCTACAATATTAGTATTTCTTTTACATTATTAAGTAAATGGTTATATTTATCGTTGTCATTATTGTGAACGGATGACTGAAATATCAGACACTATGTGGATACATTTCCTTGTAAGTGGCTGTGGTTGTGTAGTTAAAAAAAAAACACATTGGAAAGGGGCCTCAAAGTAGGGGAAATGAATTTCCCCTCAATAGAGAGTTTGAATGTAACTGTGTGGTGGTGGCCTAACTCTGAAAATTCAGAACTACAACTGTGAGAGGAAGTTAGAGTGAATAAGCCAAACCCAGAGAGAAGTAGGTAGAGTGTCTCATGTGCCTAGGTGAAATATGTGAGAACCCTATACACTGTGGTTAGCAACTAGACCCTACTTGTAGCATAAATAAGGTGTTAACGTTGTGGGGGCTATTGATGTTGTGTGCCCTGTGAGTCACTAGTGGTGAGATGGAAGACCCTATCATATAAGGTCATCCATTATCTGAATTACATTTAAATAAAATTTTGCCCATGGTTTAAAGGAACAGAGGCTCCAACATAGAGTGGAAAGAATACTGGACCTGGGAGTTAGAAAACTTGGATCTGAGTTTTAGCTCTAGCACCTACTGGCTGGATGAGCTTGGGCAAGTTACTTAATGAGGTGGTGCAGGAGAAACAGGTGCTGGATACTGAGTCGGACAATTCAGGTTCAAATCTTGGCACTGGCGTTAACTTTCAGTGATTTCAAAGGCTGCATCATTTCAATGTAAGTTGAGGTAGGTTCTACCACGCACGAAAATCTTTGACCACGGCCTTGGTAACAGACCCAAGTCTGTGATCCTAGACCCAGTCTAGTTGAGTACAATGAAGGCTCCTCCCCAGAAAGTTGGCAACTCAGTGATGACCTTTTTGGCCACATCAAAACGTAGGACAACAGGCTCATACATTTAGAGCTTGTAGGGCCTGAGAGTCATGCAATCCTGCCCTCCCACTGCACAGATGAGGAACTGAGGACCAGAGAAATTAGATGACTTGTCTAAGGCCACAAGGGTAATAAGTGGTAAAGCCAGAATTTGAACTCGGGTCTTCTGACTGCAAATCCAGGAGTCTTTCCCACTGTGCCACACTGAAGCACAACGTGAACCAAGAAAAAAATCCAAACTGATCCTCAGTCCTTCATGGCCCCCTTTGCTTACAGTGATGTAGCTGAGTGATGGAAAAAGCTGCTAAAATCATACTGGTTAGACTGGTTCCATAAATTTTAATCTAATGGTTAGACCTCAGAACGTGAGATCTGTGAGCAGGGACTCATGAGTATATACTGCTGGAAAAGCTAAATCAAATCAACCTTGACATTCTTGTTCTCAGAGAATCCAGAGGAAGGAAGCTGTGGCTAAATGGAACGGTGGGCCACAAATTCTCCTAGGAGAGGCAGAGAGAGCAGTTGGTTATACTATATATCCAGAGGATGTACACAAAATGATATCCTAAGGGACAGCTGGCCATCTCATATTATAGTACTGACGTTAAGTACAACTTGCAAAAAAAAAGACTGTCCAGAAAGTAATTACATTTTATGCACCAATACCTTTTGCTTAAGATAAAGAGGCAAAGAAATTCTATGAATGACTTCATAAGACCCTCCAAATTCTAACAACAAATACTCACCCTTGGCGACTTCAAAGACAAGGTGAGAAAAGCTGAGGACCATAAGTATGGTTCATGAAAAATGAATGAGTGAGGCCAAATACTTAATAGACTACACAGATGCCTCATGTGTTTGTATAATGGGCAGTCTTTGAGAAAAGAACTGGCAGGGGCCAGGCACAAATAAAACAGCAAAAAAAATGAAATAGATATTTTAACAGACATGAAACAATGAGTTATTGATATGGGAGTTATTCTTTGATTAGCTGTCTGTGAAAATTCTGACTACCAACTTACAAGGCAAATATCAAAATTGGTAAAAAGCAAGAAGAAAGATTAATAATAAAAAGGAGAGGGGCAGCTAGGTGGCGCAGTGGATAGAGCACCAGCCCTGAAGTCAGGAGTACCTGAGTTCAAATCCAGCCTCAGACCAAACACTTGACACTTACTAGCTGTGTGACCCTGGGCAAGTCACTTAACCCCAACTACCTTAAAAAAAAAATAATAATAGTAATAATAAAAAGGAGATAAGGCACACAATCGAAGCAACTCAATCCTCAACTACTTAAGCAAGTAATCAGCTCTGAGAAATGGGAAATGGACATCAGAAACATTGCTGACAGGGATTATAATAATTTTATACAGAATCTTAATGGCCGCAAAGGGTCTACTACAAGGAACCACAGAGTTCTTTAGGCCGCAAACATTTGCCCTATTTGTGAAGCAAAGACAGGTGGTGGACCAAGTCAACACTATAGAATAGAAACTCATTTTGAAAAACCTTTAGAAAAAAAAGAAAAAAGGATGATGGGCAATTATGAGCTATATTGCCTTATGAAGCAGGAGAAGGTAAAGACCAGCTTAAAGAAAGCTTGCACAGAGACCCAACTAAGTAAAGTCATCCCAGGGCATTTAAGCATGAAAATGGGAGGACAAAAAAAAGAAGAAAAATGCAAAATAGATGTATAGATGATTATCAGTCAAACATTTATTAAACCCTTAATATGTGTGAGGAAATGTGCTAAGTACTGGGGAAGCAAATAAAAAAAACAGTTGTCATCTTCAAGCCACTTATATTCTAAAAGTATCTAGTCTAACAAACTGTATTTACCATCAAGATGAGTAGGATCACCACACTTGGACCCTAAGGTCACAGTGCCAGATGTGTTTACATGGAGGTAGAAATGGCTCCAAAGAGAACAAAGATGGGAAAAACAGTTGTAGTGGACCAAGTGTGTATGGAGTATACCCCTGCTGAAAAGACACAATTGTGAGGGTGCCAGATGACTGATAAAAAAAAGTACCTGAAAGAGAAGATACTAAAAGCTTGGAAAAACTTGGACATTATTAATACTATAAAAAGATAACTATGAAAATATCCACAACTACTGACCTACATGCAAGCTCCAATATATAACTAACTAATAAGGAACTTCCCAGAATAGCAAGCAAAGACATCATCAAAGAAAGGTCTGACAGAAAGAGAAGATGGGTTGATCATGGACCCAGGAGGATGGGGTGACAGGTGGACAGCCAGAGTACTCCACTGGTACCTTCACAATGTCAGCAGAAAGTAAGGAAAGACTCTAACTTATTGGGTGGGTCCGTGCCAACTTACAGGAAGAAATAGACAAGAGTTGCAGAGAATAGCAGACTTGGGCGAATCTTCCATCACTAGAGGGCATTCCAAATCAATAAGGTCCACTGGAGTATTATTATTTGGACTGGACTTGTGATTTCATTGATATATGGAATACCCTGTGAGGAAATGCCTTCTACAAGAACGGCTGGCACTTGCTCTATAGCTTATAATCTTAGGGAGTTGACTGGGATAATAAGACATGACGTGACCTACCTCAGGATGTGTCAAGAGTCAGAGGTCTGACTCAACTCAGGCCTTCTGGATTCCTTTATCCACTATACCATGCCGTCTCCCTTGATTTATTAGGTTTGGTTAAACTTTGTATTTTTATGGAGAATGCTGAAACCATTGTGGGTGGTTTGTTTAACAGACATAAGATCTGAGTTTAATAAAATGCTATATATGTCTACATAAATAAAAGATTAACTAGTACAATCATGAATACCTGAAAGAGTTCTTGAGCCATTCTTGACCATCTGTGCAAGGCTGTACACTCTGTACATAAATGGTGAAACACAGTTAACAGGAAAATTTAAGTCAACTAGAACTCTTTCCTCAACTATGCCAATCAGCTGACTTTTCACATATGTATATTGCTACCATCTTAATTTAGAGAACTGGATGTACTACAGGTGGAACACAACCCATTATTTACGTGTACAAAAAGACAGAAGGCTCACTCACCTCCTGGTGTGTTCATGGGGGTTTGTGCCAGTAATTTGTTCTGTTTCCATCATGAGGCGAGTTGGGAAATTAACACCATCACCTAAACTGCATGATTAAAAATATTAGTAATTACTTTAAATTTTACTAGACAGGTTAAGTTAAAGTGATCAGGTTTGTTGCTTGCTTTTAAGATAAATGATAAAAGAAGGGCAACATATACAACCAAAAGTCATTCCTCAATAGATAAGTGATCAAAGGACATGAACAAATAGTTTTCAAAAGAATTGCAAACTATTAACAATCGTATGAAAGAATGCTCCAAATCACTAGCAAGGAGAGAAATGAAAATTGAAACTACTCTGAGGTCTTATCTCACATTTTGCAAACTGGTAAAGATGACAAAAGATGAGAATAGTCAGTGTTGGGCTGATAGGAAGATATGCACACATTGTTAGTGAAGCGCAACTGCTGGTGATTCACAAATCAGTACAACAATTTTAGAAAGCAATTTGGAATGATGTAAATAAAGTAACTATATTGCCTATACCCTTTGACTCAAGAGATTCAATAACTAGGCCTATATCCCAAGGAGGTGAGTCCCTATTACACCAAAATAATTAAAGCAGACTTTTTTGTTACAGGAAAGAACTGAAAACAAAACAAAATGCCCATCAGTTGGGGGATGGTTAAACAAATTGTGGTATATGAATGTAATAGAATATTACTGTGCTGTAAGACTTGACAAATACTATGAATAAAGAGAAGCAAGAAAAGACTACATGAAGTGATGCAGTATAAAGAAAACAGGGCCAAGAAAACAATATATACAATGAACTACAAAAAAAAAATTAAAAAATGAATGTTACATAATTAAAGAGAAGCATGGCTCCAAAGAACAGATATGTAAAGACCTATCATCCCATCCCTTTACTTAGTAAGAGGTCTATGAGCGTGGCATGCTGTACATGTTTTTGGACTTTCTTAATTTAGTGGTCATTTCTTTCCTTTCTTTTTTCTGTCTTTAAAAAATATTATTTGGTACATGGGAAGTCTCTCTGGGAGGGGGAGTGGAAGGAATATAGATGAAAATCATAGTAATATAAAAAAAGACATTAATTTTAATTAATTAATCTTATTTTTAAAAGGTGCAGTGGCTTCTTTCAAGGCAGAAAGTCTGAATCTTGCCTAAGACACTGTGTGACACATGGCAAGTTTAAAATGAGAGTAATAAAAGCAATGACATCACAGGATTGTTGTGTGGACCAAATCAAAATAATATGTGGTTTTAATTTCTCTTATTATGAATGATTTTGGCCATTTTTTCATATAGTTCATTTTTTTTAATGATTGTTGATCATTTGCGTTTCTTTGAAAAACTGCTCATACATGTTGATCACCATGTACTGTTGAATAATAGCATTTGGTTTTATGGTGGCAATTTCCTGTTTCTTATATCAGACTTTTATTAAAGAAATATTACGTTTGAAAATTAAGATGAACTGAAAGACAATGGTCTGAGCATGATCAATTTATTAGTTAATCTAGCAGTAACCAATAAATTGTGTTCACGGCCTCTCTCAATGACCAAAGACCATGAGGTAGGGCTTATTAGTCTTCATACAGTTTTGAGAAGTACAAGAGAGCAAAGAACAGAGTTAAGTAGGTGGAGAACACAATGTAATTGGTTATATAGACTGGCAGCATCATGGGTAAGGACAACATGACTGGTTACATCAAGAAAAGCGGGTTAATATCCACATTAGGCTAGTAACCATCCCTCTCCGTCATGAAGGAATGCTTGATTGATTTGAAGGATACTGAAGGATGCTGTAAGTAGACCAGGGATAGCAGACTCCCAGGCTCCTAGGAGAATCTGTTAGAGAGATAAAACCATCCTTAATTGTACAAAGGCAAGGATGGACAATATACCTTGTGGAAATATACCAGACCAGTCTGTAGGCCTTTAAAGATAAGGTATGGTAGATGTTTTTTTTTTTAAATTATGCCTTTAAATTAGCTCAGAGGAAAAGCTAAATTCCTGAGCTCAACTCAAGGACATGCAAGGTGGCTTTAGGCAGATATAGACTCAATTATAAAAAATAATACAGCATAAAATCAATTACATTGTAGAATCAATACAGTAGAAACTCAGGGTAATATTAACTTTGATCTTTTCAGATATTTTATATAAGTATTTTCCCTCAATTTACAGCTTTTCTTATCCTAGCTGCCCTGATTTTGTTGTATAAAACCTTTTTAATTTCACATAATCAAAATTATAATTGTATCTTTTGTGTTCTCCTCTCTTCCTTGCTTAGTTAAAAATTCCTCTTCCTAACTACAGATATGAAGGATACCTCCTTCCCATTCTGCCTACAATGTAAGCTTTTATATTTAGCATCATTTGTCAAGTTGGTGGTTATGTGTTACAGTGTAAGATGCTACTCTAGACTTAATTGCTGCCAAGCTGTCTTACAATTTCCCCAACACTCCTTGTCTAATAGAGTCATTCCTCCAGTAATCTTTGGGTTTGCTGGATTTTTGAACACTGAATGATATATATGATTGTATACTTATCTAATCTGTTCCACTCTTACCCTTTTCTAATTTTTAACAAGTACCAAGCAGCTTGGAGGATTATTGATTTAATATATGTTAATATGTTCTATATTTTAGGGAATATTATTTGTATATAATACTACAAATATACATATATATGTTTATTGTTCACTTATTTGAAGGACACTGAGCTATGTCCTTTTTTGTTTCAAGTTTAGCAAGTAGCACAATGGTAGGAAATTGAGAACATATCAAGTCAGTTCACTACCTTAGAGGTTAAGTATTCAAGTGATTATGACTTTACATGACTTTGGGGGCCATTTTGGAAGAAATCACATATTTGAAGTTATAGATAAAATCTACATCATTGCCTGCTGCTGCTGTCTCATTTCAATAATGTCTGACTCTTTGTGACTCTATTTGAGGTTTTCCTGGCAAAGATAGTGGAGTGGTTTGCATTTCCTTCTCCAGCTCATTTTACAGATAAGGAAATCAGGCAAACAGAGTTAAATGATTTGCCCAGGGTCAGATGTGAACTGAGGTCTTCCTGACTCCAAGCCTGGCACTTTATCCACTGTGCTACCTAGCTCTTCACAACATTGCCTACCCAATTCTTAATTCTATTTCATTGACCAACAGACTTTTATTAAGTTTCAGGAAAGCACTGATTACAGGACAGCAGTATTAGTAGCCAGTATTTATATAGCACTTAAAGGTCTGCAAAGTGCTTTACAAATATCATCTCATTTTAACCTCACAACAACTCTGGGAGGTAGGCGCTATTATTATTCCCATTTTACAGATGAGGAAACTGAGGCAGACAGTGACTTGCCCAGGGTCATACAAGCAATAGTTTGAGGCCAGATTTCAACTCCTCTTCTTGATTCCAGGTCTAGCTCTCTATCCACTACAAAAAATTGTCATACAGATTTAGCTTAATCTGAATTCTATATGATCATGATAATATAGAAATTGCTTAACTGATATTTTTTTGGTTTGTTCGGGTTTTTTTGGTTTTGGGTTTTTTTTGGGTAGGGCAATGGGGGTTAAGTGAATTGCCAAGGATCACACAGCTAGTAAATGTTATGTGTCGGAGGCCGGATTTGAACTCAGGTCCTCCTGAATCCAGGGCCGGTACTCTATTCACTGTGCCACCTAGCTGCCCCCTTAACTGATATTTATAATGATGATCACAAGGCACCACAACATTCTGAAGTGTTCTTAATTAAAAGAATATGTTCTGAATAATTTTCATTGCAAATATATTTCATTGTATTTTAATTATCTATAAAATTTTAATTCATGTGTGATATATAGCAATTCTCTATTAACTAGATTATTTGATTAAGTAGACTACCTCATTCCTTGAACATGTTGGATAATAAGGAATTTAATAAACATTTTTCAGCTTTATGAAAACTTTAAGATGAAATATGTAGTAATTCATCTTTATATAGACAGTATTGTGAAGTTTATAAAAGTGACTTTCTCAAAATCACTTTTATAAAATCACCTTGTAAAGTAGGTAGTTCAAATATTACTGTCCCCATTTAACAGATGAGGAAAAGTAAAATTCATAAAAATTAAGTGACCTGTCAAAGGTCACAAAGCCAGTAAGCATCAGAGCTAGGACTTAAACTCAGGGTGTCTGGTGCTACTGCCATTATGCTATACTGCCTAAGTACAACTTCCAATACTATCTGATATTTCAGTTTACTTTCAAGATTAGAATAAATTCTTGGTATTCTATTTTAGCAACGGCTTATAGAATACAAAGCAACAGATAATAGAAAAGTGATGCACATTAAGTTTTTAAATGCAGGAAACATATTTACTTCCCTTCTCCCATCTATGTTCCAAAGGCCCATTTGTCACAATGCTTCAGCAAAAAAGACAAAGAATGTCATCAATTCACCACTTCCGTGACCAAAGTTCAGGCTGAGTAACTTACCTTGTAAAGATGGGAAATAACCAATATTTTTTTTCATCTCCAAACACCTGTCTCCAATTTTTACTCCAGCCAAGAAAGAAACCATTTTTGTCAGGTCCATTTAGAAATACAGGTGCACGGAATGCCTCTGTAAAAAATAAAACCAAGAAACTAAGCAATATATTGTTTGTGAGGAGGTTAACAATAAAACATTTTCCTCTGTTACATCCCATACCATGGCATAAGAAAAACATTTCAGACCAAGTATATTGTTGGAAAAAGATCTCTCTTTAGAAAAGAATAGATTAAAAAATATAAATAGATATGAGGAATTTTTTTTTAATGAAAAATGTGTTTCAGGCCTGTCTATCACAACAGATAATAGTTACCTGTGCAAGCGGACACAGTAGAGTAGCTCATATTTCTATAATACTGTAGAGATACAGGCGTGGGTCATATAGCCTGTACAAATAATATCTGTGGAGGATTTATAGAAAGACATGGAGGAGGATCAAAAAAAGGATGAAGAGGCATGAATGAGTTGTCATCTACACCACTGGAGGGAGTGCCCATAGTGATGAGATCCTAGATTGACCAAAGTAAGCTTGCAGAGTACTTTACATGCATACCTCTGCTATGGTTTGTATTTTCAGATCTTATTAAAATTCTCAATTACGTGAAGCTTTTTTCTTAGGTCCGAGGCTCATGGGCCATGAAAATTTGCACGGATAGTTAATTAGACTCAGAGTGATAGTAATATCAATGGCAGCAATTAATATTTAAAGAATTTTTAAAAGTTTACAAAGCACTCCTCCTAGTTACCTGGTAGGCAGGAAGTATAAAGATCATTTTAAAAATTCATAATAAAGATCAACCAATTGCTAACATCAGACATTGACCTGTTAACATCATACAAAAACATTTTCCAAAGAGCTTCATCTGGTTTTTAATTTTTTCCCCTAATGTCAACATTTCTTTTCCTGTCCTTCTCCTCATCCCCCACTTCTTTAATGGAAATACCTTCTGAGAGTAGGGATCTTGAACAATCTACCTTTCTCCAATTTTCTCAAATTAGAGAATATACCATTCAAGACAAGTGATTAGAAAATGCCCAATTAAAAATGTTGTTGAGTGTTATTTCTAATGGCTGAATTTCCAAATTTTAATGAAAAAAAAGTCACTTTCAACCTTTTACAAAAAAATCTTGAAATGAGTTTTGTTTTCTTAACTTGTTTCAGAGAAAATTAACTCTAACATTAATTACACATATTTGCCTTTGACTTAGTATGCATTATTCTAATTCCATCATCCAGTAGTTCATACTTCGCTGGTTCATAGTTCTGCATAAAGCAAATATTTGGAAATTACACTTGATTTTTTTTCATGATTCTATTATGACTTCTCTTCATCACATAATTCATAACAGACATTTACTTAGGGAGTGAGTAGTTTTATTTTATCAACTGACCTATTGTTGTTCTATTTTTTCCAACTAGCCATAGGTGGTAGCAGAAAAGTGACAGGATGCTAATGAAGAACATAGTAGCCACAAAGAAAAGAAAAAGGACGTGGAATTGTGCACGTGTGTTTTTTAGGTTGGTCTGAGAAGAGAAAGAGAGAGAAAAAAATAATTAGTTCAGAACATGGCTGATTTTTTTCATACCTTTTCCATTTATAACTTTTACACCATTCTCTGGTAAAATCTTCCTAGAAATTTAAAAATTTCAACAAATTTTTCCAGATACAAATAATAATAGAATACATGTAGAAGAAATATTCTGAATGCAGGAAAAGCACAAAAGGAGATGAGTTGGTCCAAATCCAATCAGTAGCTTATGGAAGAAAGTTTATAATCTCATACTATTAAGGATTAGTTATTTGAAACTACTGTCATGGGTTTTTAGCTTTTATCAATCAACAGCGATAACAAAAACAAAAAGCACATTCTCGTCCAAAGGGAAGAACTCAATAATTTATTTGGTACATTACAGTGTTATGCTTGAAAATTAAGGTAAACTGGGGCAACTAGGTGGCACAGTGGATAGAGCACCGGCCCTGAAGTCAGGAGTACCTGAGTTCAAATCCGGCCTCAGACCAAACACTTGACACTTACTAGCTGTGTGACCCTAGGCAAGTCACTTAACCCAACTGCCTAAGCAAAAAAAAAAAAAAAAAGTTATATAAAGTAAACTGAGAGACAATGCTGAGCATGATCAATTTATTACTTAGGCTAGCAGTAACCAAAAAATTGGGTCAATGGCCTCTTTCAATAACCAAAGACCCACGAGATAGGGCTCAAAGCCTTAATATAGTTCTGGGGAGCACAGAGTTGGGTATGTGGAGAAGACAATGCAATTGGTTCCAGGACAGACAGCCTCATGAGGGTGAGGCCAACATGGCTGGTTACGTGAAGAAGAGCAGGCTAGCACCCATGTAGGGGCAGTAACCACCTATCTCTTCACAGAGGACTGCTTGACTGATTTATAGGACCCTTCTCCATATTGCAGATGTTGTTAGTAGACCTGAGTTAGCAGACTCCCTTGGTGCCTAGAAAGGTTTGTTAGGGAGATAAGGCTTTCCATTATTAATGGTACAAGGACATCCAGGATACTGTATCTCTTAGAGCTAGCTTCAGGATTTAAAGATTATACCAGATATCTTGTTATTTTCCCAGAAGCTGAAGGTATGAAGGATAACAAGTGTTCTTTTAACTAATGCAGAGGGGAAACTGAACTCCTGTGACTGAGAAATGTTTATTGTTTGAGTCCACCCGCAAAGGTAGAGATAGTGGACCAGACTCCCCGGTGTCCACCTGCATCAAGATAACAAATTTCCTTGAGGCAAAAATAGAATAGCGATTACCAGGAAAAGTGAACTTCTAAACTTAGCTCATAGGCAGAGACAAAGAAATGTTGCTTACAAAATGGGGCAGTAATACAGAATAGGATCAATTAAATAATAGAATCAATTACAAAATGATACAGAATCAATCTAATTCCTTCAACAAAAATTCACACTTGAATGGACGTCAAGTATAAATAAGTTTTTAAATAAATCATGTCAAAAATTGTATACATGCTGCTAATTGGTGCCTGCCCTAAGCAAAATCATGACAATTATCTTTGGGTTCCCTTTTCCCTTCTGGCAATCCCTCTCCTTAAACCAGGAATCCTTTGGCCTCATGCTGTCCCCTGGCTAGCAAGCATCCCCAACTTTTTGTTTTCATGGGGCAACTCTAGGCCTTTCAATCCCCATGCGCAACTTCCTCAGTACTTTGAAATGACTGGAGAATCTAAGCTACCAGTGAATGAAAATGGATGAATGTGTTTACATTTTAAGGAAAGTTAAAGTATTAATGAAATGGAAGAATCAGAGTGAAAACTAGTGAGGGAGTTATTTTTGAACCCATGGGTTGGTGGTACGCCTCAAATTTTACAAATTTGGAAACTACTTATTCCATCTATACATAAAGTTTACATTGTTTAAGACAAATAGTAATACACAGCACAATAAATGCTGTAAAAGAAATCATGAAAATTAACAAGATCTACTTATAAATTACATCAACAATGCATTTTACCTTTGGACAATTCTCTGCAGATTTCCTGCGGCAAAGCTTGTACAAATAAAGATAATACATTAAGATACTAACATCAATAAAAAGTACCTGAAACATTATTATTATGACTGGTTTGTATTCAAGGATTACTAGATTACCTTCATCCTCCAGATAAAAGAACAACAGACAAGAGTGCATGTGAGTATACTGTCATCTCCAAATATAGGAATGTATGTTTAAGGCTCTTTAATGACTATTTACTTGAGTTTTTAAAATGGAGACCTGTATAAGAAAGTCTTAAATTTGTAGACACGGGGTATTAAATCTGGGTAGTTTTCTGAATTAAAGCTATCATTTTATTCTAATGATCAACTGTTTTCAAAAAAATCTGAGATAGGAAGAAAGGGTTAGCATTCTCTAGCACCTTCTTGACCAATTTAATTCCAATAAAATAAAAGTCTTCCAATTTGACTGATGCATTATTGGACGACATTTACAGAGATGCTTTAGCTGGTATCACTGGGAACTGAAATGTCTCATCTAAATTAGTTTCTTGGATATGAGAAATACTCCTTTAAAGGCCAAAACTTATAATATTTTTAGGTATTTTTGATGACACTGTAGCACAGTGGATAAAGCATTGGACTTGGAGTCAGGATGAAAGAGCTAGGTCCAAATCCCAACAATGACACTTAAAAGCTCTGTGATCATGGGCAAACCAACTTTATTGCTCCGAGCCTTTGCTAACTCCATAAATGGATGTTAACTACACTGAGAGGGAGAGTTCCCAAGCCAATGAAATTACAGATCATTTACATACTGATATACTTTTGATGGCAATCTTTCTAAGATGCATACATAATCCTTTGCCTTCTTAAATTGAGGCTATTAAAGAGTTTGGCTTTTTAGCTTGGTAGGAACAAGGGCTTTTGCCATGATATCCTACAGAGACGCTGTCTACCTCCACACAAAGAGGCATAAGAGTAGGACTTCATGGAGGCACTGGAGGGTATAAACGCTTTGACTGGGTGGTGGATGTGGACTGCATGAACCTCAAAGGAGGAGATGTTACTGAATGCTGGAGGAAGGGGAAGAAACTAGAAGTGGCAACAGAGAGCAAGGAGTATTCAAACTCCCCCTCTTTCCATCTGGCTCATTGCAAATTTTGAATATTAGAAACTGGTTAATAAGCTCTTATATTAGTACTGAGTCAAATGTTTAATCCTTAAAATATTATAGCAATATAACAGCTTAATGAAAACAACTCTATGGCATTTAAGATTTTAACAGACTTACCGTCCAGAATTTTATAAAATATTCTAAAACTGTTGTGGTCACCAGAATACAATACACAAGGGAATAAAATAAAAACAGCAGGAAGTATTTGTAGTTAGAAAATCCCACGCAGTTATTCACCCTGGAAAAGTAAAGGAGATAAATAATCGTAATATAAAGAAAAAGAAAAAAAAGGAAGATTACACAGTAAAATTACTTTAAACCAATTTAAAAAACTGAGAGTAGAAGAAAAAATATAAGAAAATTAGATTACTTGGCTAGTAGATAAACCTATCCACATAAAATAATAGAACCACATCTCAATTCGTAAATAATCTAGGTATCAGAATCATTTCAGAATATATTATTGATCATACAGAAATTATATGAATAATTTATATTTTAATGAAAAAAAAAGAATTGTTTCAAATTGAGGACTTCCTCCTTTCCCACCCAAAAAGGTTTTTATGTTTTTCATACATACCAAGGACAATGATGATCCATCTTAAGAACACATCTAAGGAAAAAAATTATAATGAAATTCCATATTCAAATTTCCATTTATAAATTCCCATACACTTAAAACTTTTCCTTTACAATTTTACTTAAGAAGAGCATGACAATCAGCATTTTTGTTGCAATAGGATATATAAAACTTTCTCAGGTGTTTAATATTCAGCAAACACTTACTATATGGTAGGCTCTGGGCATATAAAACAATCTATACCTTTGGAGAACTCAAAATGGTACAGAGGAAGAAGCTCTGGTTCTGGCAGTCAGAGGACGTGGGTTAAAATCATAATTCTGGTGATTACTATGTACATGATCTTGGGCTAACCACTAGGTTTCCTAATTTATAAAATGAAGAGGTTGGACTATTATTTATTATTGTCTTTTAAGTTCTTTCTCATTCTGGATCTATGATCCTATAATATCATGTTTTGGTTGTCAAGACACTTATAACCTGGTAGGGGGTAATAAGCCAAGGACAAACATAAACATGATATGAATCAAACTGATAATTAAATCAATGGGCATTTACTAAGGGTTGATGAAAAGAAAGAGGAAATCAGTTGCAGCCCTCAAGGAGCTTACATTCTAATGGGAGAAACAACATGTGAATGATTAGGTACAGACAAGATATTCAGTATAAATGAATCTAAGATGGGAAAGCACTAGCAACTTGCCAGAAGAGTGTGGTGGATGGACCAAAAAAAGTTTATTGCAGAAAGTGGGATTTGAACTGAGTCTGGAAGAAAGTCAGAGAAACTAAGACTAAGGTGAGGGGCAGAGTGTACCATGCATGGCATGGGGAGGAAGAACAGTCAAGGCAAAGGCACAGTGATAGGAAATGTAGTGTCCTGTTCAAGGAATAGCTGGATCATCAAGTGCATGGAAGTAAGGAGACTGGAAATGTAGGAAGGTACCTTATGAAAAGCTTTAAACACCAAATGGAGGAGTTTGTATTTGATCCTGGAGGGCAATAGGAAGCTCCTGGAGCTCAATGAGCAGGGGGTGGGAGTGGCAAGGTCAGACCCATGCTTTAGATAAATAACCGTCGTAAGTGAGTAGAAGATGGAATAGAGTGGAGAGAGACCCATGACAGGGAGACCAGTAGAAGACTAGAGACTTTATATCACTTCAGCACTGAAGTTTTAAAAGACACATGAGTGAAACTGCTACAGGGCATAAAATTTATTTAAAAGCATTTTCCTACAGAATTATAAAGATTTAAAACTGTACAAATTGTAAGTTTTAATCATTTATTTGAGACTCAAATGATCTTAAAATTTACAAATTTTTTTCTATAGGTATAAGCTTCACTGACAAGGCAAAACTTGTAAATTTACTTTATTGCTTGGGAAACTAAATTACCTGGCTTAGTGGAGCTGGCTTATTTGCCTTATCATATTTTGTTGTATCTAAATGTGAGACAGAATTTAAAAAAAAAAGACTCTAAATTTAGTGAGATTTAATTCCTTTGAACAAATCAACTTGTTCTAAGCTTCCCTTACTTAACATTTTAAATAACAGCCATGATTAGGAGCAAGGTATTCTCTAAGAGAGCTGAGACACAGAGTCCAATGAGCACTCATCTTTAGGCTAAGTTCTGAACTTCAGGCCAGGTTAACAGTAATTAAGACAAACAGGGAAAATCATAGTAAAAACTACTATGAGTACAGGGCAGAACTGCTTACAAACTAATGAAAGAATAGGGCAGAATTGCTCTTCTGGAATTTAAAAAAACAAAAACAAAAACTGGATGAATTCATTGGTATTCCACAGGTATTTGAATAGCCCTCCTTTTTATATGGAATACTAACTAAAGTTATGGTTCACCAAAAGGGATATGGAGGGGTGAATGGTGGCATGAGTTAAATCCATTATCAACAAAAATTGTCATAAATAATAAGAAAATAAGTTGAGGGAAATGATTAAATGAATTGGCACATTATTTGTTATACCTTAATTTCAATGTTAAGTATGATTTGCCAACTCGTCTACTATGAACTCTTCTTACTCTGAGAAGACTAAGAAGCCTTCTCAAAAGTCAGATCATTACAGCATGCTCATTACTGCTTTCTGGGCACCACCTTGGAAGGTTAAGCTACAGTTATTAAGCACAGATCAAGGTGATACATCTGAGATCTCTTATGTGATGGGGATGATGTAACTCATGGAAGAACTTTTGTCTACTCTTCAGAACAAACAATTGTAATATTTACTTCTTGAGAAGCGACTGCAAACTTTTAGAACTAGGGTATAGATATAAAACTCAGTCCATTTGTAACATTAACTTTTCCCCTTTGACAAAAATTCCAATGCCATGCTCAGTGAAAATGAAAACTGTTGATCAAAGTTACTTACTTGTTACATACAGAGCAGTGGTGACATCGATCAGGCTTAATCAGCTGACATTTTTCACAGTATCTGATTACTAAATTCAAGAATAAAAAAGAAGACTGTTAAACTGCTTAACTAATGTCAACAAATAAACCTGTTTAACTTTCCAAACTCATTTATGGAACAAATTACTTTTAATTAAGAACTTTAAAATAACACAAAAGAATAAAAGGATATTAAGAGTGGGAAAGGGACTCAGAATCACTCAAATTCATCCATTCATTTTAAAGTTAAGAATACTGAAGCTAGAGTGAACTGAGCAGAACCCAAAGAACATTGTACACATTAATGGCGACACTTGTGCGATGATCAACTATGACAGACTTAGCTCTTCTCAGCAATATAATGATCCAAGACAATTCCAAAAGACTTGTGACGGAAAATGCTATCCACATCCAGAGAAAGAACTATGGAGTTTGAATCAGAGTGAAGCATATTATTTTCACTTTTTTTGGTATTTTCTTTCTTGTGGTTTTTCCCTTTTGTTCTGATTCTTCTTTCATAACATGACTAATGTGGAAATATGTTTAACATGATTGTACATGTATAACCTATATCAGATTGCTTGCTGTCTTGGAGGGAGGGAAAAAAGAGAGGTAGAAAAATTTGAAACTCAAATTAACTTTACAAGTAATTGGAAAAAAAATACTATTAAGGAAAAAAGAAAAGAAAAAAAAAGAATACTGAAGCTAAGGACGGTTCAATGACCTGTCAATGGTCACATAACTAGTTGGTGGTAAAAGTGAGCCTAGAATTCAGCTCTTTTGAAGTGCAAATATTCTTTCTGTTAGAACACAAATATGTGCATGATAGATTTGGCAAAAGAAGTGTATCTGAACTGTATATAACATAGTCCATCTGCTTCCTGTAGGGGTTTCATTTATTGAAATCCTGTTAATAGCTGAGGGTTACAGAGGTTTATTTTGTCAGAGAATTAATTACCGAATTTAGTATGGAATTCAAGGAAAAGCATTATTGCTATCCTGGTCTTTCATACTCTCCTGAGCTCTATCACATGCTGCTGCCCCAGAAGCTTATTTCTCCCTGCCCCACCCCCATTAGAATGTTAGCACTGCATCTTCCTATAGCTCCTTTTGATAGCTCAAATAAACTTAACCTTCCTAGTTTTCTTTTGACTTCTGTTTGCATTTTGAAGTTCTGATTTTGATTTGAAATTTTCTGATTTGAAGTTTGCAGTTCTGATACTTTCATCACGAATGCTTGCAAGTCCTCTATTTCATTAAAGATCCATTTTCCTCCCTAAAGGTTTATATTTAGCTTTTCAGGGTAAGTTATTTTTGGCTGGAAGCCTATGCCCTTTTACAATATTGTATTCCAAGATTTCTTCTCGTTTAAATTAGAAGCTGCTAAGTCTTGTGTAATTCCAAGCATGATTCCTTAATACCTGAATTCTTTTCTGGATACTTGCATTTTTTTCTTTAGATTTTAGAAGCTTTGAATGATTGGTTATGACATTCTACGGACTTTTCCTTTTTGAACCCTTTTCAGGAGGTGATCAGTGGATTCTTTTCTATCTCTGCTTTGCCATCTGGTCCTATACATCTGAAAGTTTTCATTTATGGTTTCTTGAAATATTCAGACTTTTTTTTTTTAAAGAAAACAGTTTCCAGGAAGTCCAGTGAATCTTAAATTATCTTTCCTTGACCTGTTTTTCAAGTAAGTTGTTTTTGATACATTATATTTTCTTCAATTTTTTTTCAATTCTTCTATTTCGTTCTGATATGTCTTGTTGTCTCATGGAGTAACTGATTTGTTTCATCTATTCTAGTTTTCAGGGAGTTGGTTCCTGGTATTGTTTACCACTTTCTGTTCTAAGCTAATTATTTACTTCCAGTTCTCCAGAGTTTTTATCCCATTAATTTTTCTTAATTTCTTCTAGATATTCATTTTGTCCTCATAGAAAATCCATTTTTTTCTTTGAATCTCTGCTTGTAGTTATTAGGGAGTTATTCTTTTCTCCTGTATTGGATTTCTAAGTATCTGTGGATCTACAATAATTCTTTATAGTGGCAGTTGTATTTTCCGATTTACTGAACTAGAGCTTTGTGACAGGGCTAGGTTCTAACCCTTTCTGTCCTTTTAGGTGGGGTGGTGAGCCCTGTTTGGTCTCATGCTGTTTCACCTGGGTTCTTTTGTAGATTTCTGTTCAGCCCTCCTGGGATCTCTGAGGTTCAGATCTCTGAATCTTCAGGGTCCTCAACGGTATCTCAAGATGGAGTGGTAGGGCTCCCAGGGATGTCCCAGTCTGAGTAATGCTATGCTTGACTGGTTGCTACCACTCCCAATCATTTCCAAGGTCTCCATTGTGGTTTTATCATGCTGGGGCCATCCTACGGGAACATTCTGTTCTTATTACTGCTGTATACAAAGGTTTACAAGCTCTACATAGCTCTTGCCAGTCTCTGATCTTGCTGAGATGCTATAGCTTTGTTTGCCTGCACTGGTTCTGATTTTGATGGTAGCCTCCTTTCCTGTTGCCTATGGGCTTCCTTTTGACTTTTTGTGTAATTCTGGAGTGAATGAAATCACTTACTGTAGTTTTTCAAGTTTTGCTGAGCAGGTATGTGGGAACTGGGGGCTGCCTGCTCCATTGTAGCTATCTTGGCAAGAAGTCTTTTCCTTTACTTTTTTACAGCCCTTAACACTGATAACCATTCCCTTACGGATACTTCTTCCTTCTCCGGCTTCAGTGACACTACTCTCTTCTTTCTGGTTCTCCTCTTACCTATCTATCATTTCTTTCCTTGTCTTTTTCACTGGTTTGTCATCTTCTTTGTACTACTTAAGTGACAGGGTGCTACTGCACCCTTTTCTCTCTATACTCTCTTTTGGCAATCTAATCCATTCCTACAAGTTTTATGATCACATCTTTGAGTGTGACTTCCACATCTATATATACAGACCTAATCTGTAACCGGCACTCCAGTCCGACATCTTCAAATGCTTGCTAGACATCTCTACTTGGATATCCTGTCAGTATCTCAAACCCAAGGTGTCTATAACCAAACTTACCTTTCCTCCTAAATCTGACCTTCTTTAGTTCCTTATTCTTCTTTGACAGCACCATCATCCTCCAGTCATCAAGACTCAAAACTTAAGTTATTGTTGCCTCTTCTCTCAATCCACCCACTACAATCAACTGTCTCGTGCCCTCTTTTCCACTCAAGTGAGCACCACCCTATTAGTGGACCCCAACACTTCTCACTTGGCCTATAAACAGTATCCTCACCTAAGTGCTTGATAAATGATTTTTCATTCACTTATTCTCTGATCTTGGAATGCTGTTGCCAGTCTCCAACCTTTGGCCCAAGCTATTCGCTAAGTCTCGAGTATACTCTGATCTCATCTAAGCCTTTACAAGCCCATTTCTTCTGACAAGGTTCAGATTAGATCAAGTGTCATCCATTTTTTATGAAGCACTCAACAATCACCTTCACTATCACTTCTAATTCCCCATCTCAGCTTCAAAGTGCTCTCCCCTGCCTCAAATTTTCCTAGACTATGTTGCCTACTCATTCTTATCTGTATATACTGCTTATAGCCTGCCCCTTTGTCCCCATCAGAACGTAAGCTCCTTGGGGCAGCTAAGTGGCGCAGTGGATAGAGCAGCAGCCCTGGATTTAGGAGGACCTGAATTCAAGTCCGGCCTCAGACACATAACACTTTCTAGCTGTGTGATCCTGGGCAAGTCACTTAACCCTACTGCCTAACCAAAAAAATTAAAATTAAAATTAAAAAAAAAAAGAATGTAAGCTCCTAGTCCCTCGTCAGAATGTAAGCTCCTACTCAGCAAAGATGATATCTTCTTAAAGTCCTTATGTCCCTAGCACCTAGCAAAGGCCTTTCCACAGTAGATACTGAATGTGTGTTGTTCAATTTGTCGAGACAGTCTAAACAAGACTTGACAAGTGAGTAGATGTGGATGATGAGAGAGAGGAAGGAATCCAAGATGACTGAGAACATGAGGTAGAGTTTTAATTAACAACTTCTTGTATTCAAAGGATTAAAGTAACCCTTCACATCTGGATTTTACCCTAAGGGAACTTTTTGGTACACAGGTAAAGTCAACTTCATTTTGTACACGCATCCTTGGAGATTTAATGCTAGAAGGGACCTTTGAGATTTTCTAGTTCAGCTCCATCATTCTATATTTTTTCCCCTATTATTTTATAGATTCAGAACCTGGGGGAGGCTGCTTAAATGCTTTCCCTGCTATTTCCTGGGTTGTCAATGGCACAGGTGCAATTCAAACCCCAGGTCCTGTGACAGATCCAGTATACTCTTTACAAAATAGAGTGTTTTGCTCCATTTTGTTTTACTTCAAAACAGTGTCAAATAGAGTAACACACTACTGTATTTTGTATTTTTACATTCTTTTAGTTAAACACAATCGACAACTTGTTCATGGGATATGCTACATATTTCAGTGAGGTCTAATTGTGTTATTTGCTTATCAAAATAAAACTTGTACTAAACTAAAACTGCTACCATTTTTTGGCTCCTTCACCACCATCCATGCCAGCCCTACCCCTCTCACATCCTAACCTACTCTGCCCTCTGATTTTTCATAGTTAGGAGCCTCTGTTCTATTGCTAACAAATCGCCATTGCTACCAGTTATCTTCCTCTCACCCTCCTTGCATCTTCTTGCAATCAGTAAAAACTGGTTCCTTCAGGAAGGCACCACATCCACGGTCAACCTTGTGGATGCTCTCCCAAACACAATGGTCCTGGAAGAGGAAAGGTATACTTCTTACTCAGTGCCACCTCACGACCCTGCCACCATCACTTGGCAGACTTTCTTCCTCTGAGATTCACTTCAGCCAGACATGTTACTCTATCCCGAATCTGGCGGCACTTACCTAGCTCCCAGGTCATTTTCCTTTTCTCAAGAAATTCAGTACTTGACTCACAGTCTTCTTTTCTGCCCCAACTCCTTCCCTTATACTTGAATACTTTAATATACATGTTGGAGTTCCCTCAGGCGCCCTATTTACCAGTTCATTAACCTCATCTCTCAATATCTGCATCTTTATTCTACCTCAGTCACACACAGGGATGGCCAAGTCCTTGTTTTTTTTCATCTACGAATGTTCTATTAACATGATGGAGAATTATAAGGGTCCAATCTCTTTCAACTTTTATTATGCTTCGATTCTCCTCAATTTAACCTCTAGTCACTCCACTGTACACTATTTTCTCAGGTCATCACCCTTATTCTGGCCTCACTCTACCCTCTTCAAAATCTTGATCCTTTAGTTACCAATTATGCTATCTTCTAACCTTTGATCCTTGTCTCTAATCATCCCTTTTCTTTTTTTAAATAAATTTTTATTGTTTTTTTTTACATCATCTATATTTCCCCAAAGTATCTTGCTCCTAGAGAGTCATTCCATCATCTCTTTTCAAATCCCAACCCAATATTGTTCCTGCTATGAACCTTTTCTTGCTTCTCCAAAGTTGCTGAACACCTTAGAAGAAGGCACGTTACCTATTCTTAATTGGTTCTTCACTGCTGCACACTCTTGGAATCCCCAGTTCTTCATGTTTCCCCCTGCTCCAAAATTACTTTTGTCTTTATTTTGCATTTCCTTCCTGTGTACATGTTGTTTCAGACCAGCAGTATATAAGGCTGGGATTGGGTTTGTTTTTGTCTTTGTACCTTAGTGCCAGGCACAGTGCGTGGCACTAGTGGGCATTCAAAAGCTGGTTTAAAAAAACTACTAACTCCTCATGTGATTTGGAGTCTTTCTTAGCTTAGACAATTCATCTTTCTATTAGAAAGGAAGTGAAGGAAGTATAGGCAGCAAAGTATAGTGATAAAAACAACAGATTAGAAGTTAACAGACTTGGGTTCTAATCTTGGCTCTACCATCTACTAGCTCTTATTACACTGGGCAAATCTCAAAACTTCAGTTTCTTCATGTCAATAACAATGCTTCATAGTCTCATGGGGCTGTTGTAAGTAACATGAAAACTTTTTAGAAAATATATATTTGAAACAGGAAGATCCAAGCTTTTGGGACAGGACTCATTATTTGACAAAAACTGCCAGAACAACTGGAAAACAGTTGAGGAAAAACTAGGTAGAGACCAACATTTTATACCATTTACCAAAATAAAGTAAAAATAGCTATAGAGTAAACATAAAGGGTGATACCAAGGGAAAAATGGGGGAGCATGGAATAGTTTATCTGTTAGATCTATGGAGAAGAGAAGAATTTATAACAAAACAAGAGATAGCATTATGAGATGTAAAATGGATAATTTTGATTACATTAAATTTTAAAGGTTTTGCATAAACAAAACTAATGCAACCAAGATTAGAAGCAAAGTGGAGAAATTTTTTTTTTACAGTAAGTGCCTCTGATAGTCCTCATTTCTCAAATACATAGGGAACTGAGTCAAACTGATAAGATTACAAGTCATTCCCCAATTGATAAATGGTCAAAGGAAATGAACAGGTAGTTCTCAGATGAAGAAATAAAGCTATCCATAGCCATATGAAAAAATACTCTAAATCACTGTTGATTAGAGGAATGAAAATTAAAAAAACTCTGAGGTACCACCTCGCACATATGAGATTGGCTAATATAACAAAAAAGGAAAATTATAAATGTTGGAGGGGATGTGTGAAAATTGGGACACTAATGCACTACTGGTACAGTTGTGAACTGATCCAATATTCTGGAGAGTAACTTGTAACTATGCCCAAGGGGCTATAAACTATGCACGCCCTTTGGTCCAGTACTATCACTACTAGGTCTATATTCCAAAGAGATTTAAAAAAAAAGACTTATATGTACAAAAATATTTATAGCAGCTATTTCTGTGGTGGCAAAGAACTGGAAATTGAGAGGATGCCCATCAATTGGGGAATGGCTGAACAAGTTGAGGTATATGACATAATGGAATATTACTATGCTATCAGAAATGATAAGCAGGCTGATTTCAGAAAAACCTGTAAAAACTTATATGAACTGATACAAAGTGAAGTGAGCAGAACATAAAACTGTACACAGTAACAGCAATGCTATATGATGATCAGCTGTGAATGACTTAGGTATTCTCAGCAATACAATGATCTAAGACAATTCCAAAGGACCCATGAATGCTATCTACCTCCAAAGAAAGAATTGATGGAGTCTAAATGCAGATTGAAGCACACTATTTTTCATTTTCTTTATTTTTTCCATTTTTTTTTTTGGCCTGTGTTTTCTTTCACAAGATGATTAATATGGAAATATATTTTTCATGAGTGCACATGTATAACCTATATCAAATTATTTACTGTTTCAGGAAGGAGGGAATAGAAAGAGAGAAGAGAGAATTTAGAACTTAAAATTTAAAAAATGTTAAAAATTGTTTTTACATGTAATTGGGAAAAAAAATAAAATGTTAACAAGAAAGGGAAAATATATATTTGAAAGAAGTTCCAGAGAAAAGCTTTTCAGAGTCCTATTATATCAAATTAGGTTGGGACTCAAGGGAGGATTTACCTAAGAAATCCGATAGTAAATGACTAATTCTTCAGGAAGTCATACATTAATTTAAAATCAATAGTCTCGGAAGTACAGAATGAGATAAACATTTTCAGACACGGCGAATGTGTATTTGTTTTGCTTGACTGTACTTACATGTTATAAGAGAGAAATATCAAAAATATTAGAAAATAAAGAATAGACTGTTAACGAAACATTTAAAAAATACACAAAAGAAAGTTCACAAGAGGGACGTGGACAAGCAGGGATGTGTTGCTAGAATTTTTGATCTTATAATTAAACTAGTTATATACATTTTTTCTAATATAAGTACATAAATACTGGGATAAAAGCACTACAAAAGTGCATTAAGTAACTGAACATAGCAATTTCAACTATGATCTAACAAAAATGATTCCCCTCTTTTATTCCCCACCCCTCACCTTCTCCCCCAGCTTAGGCCATCCCAGAAGCAACTCTAGATAGCCTGGCAGTGGTAAAAGTTGCAACACTTTCTTCTACCAGTGTTAGGTTCTGAGGATAAAAAGAAAAAAAAGGGGGGAGTCCCTGCCCTCAAGAAGCTATCATTGATTCTGCAGAGAAGAAAGACTACCTTACATTTAAAGAATAAGCATTCCTCCCAAACAGTAAAACAAGCAGTTGGTGGTGCAGCAGATAGAATACTGGACCTGGATACATAAGACCCGAGTACAAATTTAACCCCAGACACTTCTTAGCTGTGCAACTCTTAACAAGTCACTTAACCTCTGTCTGCCTTAGTTTCTTTATCTGTAAAATAGGGATCATAATAGCACCTGCCACCCAGGGTTGTTGTGAGGAAAAATTGAGGCAATATTTATAAAGTGCTATATAAATGATAGCTATTATTATCATCAATAATAATAGTAAGTTACAGATCACTGAGTGTTTTCCTTTTTAATGTATATTGATAAATGGACATTTTCAATATTTTTATTTAAGAAACAGATCAAAATAGTACTGGCATTGGGGGAATGGGAAAGAAAGAAAATGGGACTGTAAGAAAAGTTGTCAGTGACTCATTTTAAATAGACGATCAATAGAATAGTATTCTGTGAACACCCCAATACTCGTTTAGCCACAAATATGTCAATATATCTCACTATGGAAGTGAATACAGCTGAAGAGATACTTTGAAAGCTAAAGATCTGTTTTGCTTACATCTTGTTGAAGTCAAAGTATAGACAGGTAACTCTTTTGCTACTCTTTTCAAAATTTCTTGTTGTACTTCAGGTCTTTCTTCTTTTTCATAACGTTCTTCATCGGACTGAGATAAACTGAACTAAAAGAAGAGAAGAACTGTTAATTTTTGGTCCTAAGATTAAATCAACTATAAATGTAATATAAAAAATAAATACTTGCATAAAAAAACTACAAAAATACAGAAAAAGACCGAACAAGGTTATTTCACGTATGCTTGGGTAACAGTTGTGAAATTTTCTTTCACAAAATCATTTACTTACCACACTAATACCAATATAACAACTCAAGATTCATATGATGTTTCAAAAAATTTTGCATAGTTAAATTTATGCTTTTATAGCAACATAATATTGAACTTCTAAAAATTATATCAGAGTCAGCTTGGTCGTTCCCCAAATGTTGGATTTTTTCCAGTTTTTTTCTTATAACATTTGTAAGAAATACAAATATTTTTGTAAAAACAGGTGCTTTCTTTTAAAATATTTTCTTGTGGGGCAGCTAGGTGGCACAGTAGATAGAGCACCGGCCCTGAAGTCAGGAGTACCCGAGTTCAAATCTGGCCTCTGACCAAACACTTGACACTTACTAGCTGTGTGACCCTGGGAAAGTCACTTAACCCCAATTGCCTAAAATAAATAAATAAAATAAAATATTTTCTTGTGAAATACAACAAATACTGGGATTAAGAAATCAAACGACACAAAGGAGCATTAAAACTCTCATGAGATTACTCTTCAGCAAAGATTATTCTAATCTGCATTGATGTCAACAGTGAGTACACTCATTTCCCCACAGTTGTCCCTAACCACTGGACTTTATCATTTATTTTTATCTTAATTAATCCCCATAGTTGTTTTAATTAGCATCTCCTCAATTATTACTGTGATTAAACATTTCCCCAAATATTTAGTATGCTCTTCTTTCATAGGATTATAGATTTATAAGTGAAAAGGACCAGAGAGGCCATCTAGTCCAGTCTCCTCATTTTAAAAAGGAAGAATCTGAGGCACCATAGAAGCTAAGTGACTTGTTGTGGTTACAAAGACAGAAAGTGTCAGAGTCAGTGTTTGGACCTATGTCCTCTAGACTTCAGAGCCTGTCCTCTTTCCATCCACTACAGCATACTTAACTATTTGCTCATATACTTTGACCATTCGTCCATTGGAGATAGGGTACTGTTCTTCTAGACTTACCTCTGTTTCTTGTAAATTGTCTTTTATCCATCATATTCAGCATGAATCCTTCCCCTACTCCGTTTTTTATTTTTTGTTTTGATATTTGTTGTATAAGTCTTATTTTTTAGATAACTAAACACATCAACCTTGTTAGGATAATTTTTTTTAACACTTCAATTACAAAAATTCATTTCTCCACATTTTGGATAAGTATATAATTCTATTTTCCCCTCAGCTGTTTCATTTACTGTTTTAATATTTACGTTATTAATTAATGGAACTTCTGATTATATGAATTTAACTTTTGTCTATATTATTACATAATTTCCCCAATAACATTTATTGAACAATAACTATTTTCCTCACTATTCAATTTCATTAGTTCTGTTAGGCATGTTTTTCATATAGGATTAAAGATCACAGATTTGGGACTGGAAGAGACTTCAAAGGTCATTTAGTTCTGATAGGGCCTATCTTAGTCTTAGGTTATCATCTATTGGTCTATCTCACTGGTGTAAGATACCTCAATATATCAAGTACTTAACTAAAGGCAGGAGTGAATGTTAACTTATGATGAATTATTCCTCTAGCATGTTTGAGAGTCTGGCGGCTAGTTCATGAGATGTTAAGACCCAAATCAAAATGAAAAAGCCTATATTCCTTCTGTGAGCTCATAATCACATAGGCAGGGGAATAGGAGTCTAAGAACAGGCCCAAAGTCACCTATGGGTTGAGTTAGAGTCTCTTCCCACTTTCCTTTCTAACAGTCCTTTGACTCTGCAAGCAATTATGATGTTAAAAAATCCCAAGTGAAGATCTAGAAGCAGAAATTAACAGATAACAGACTTTGCTTTCTTATTTACCACTGTGGAACCCCAAAAGCAAAGGAGTACCACAAATCACAGACGGGACTCTTCCTGCACAAAAGAGGAAATCGGGGGAGCCTTCTGGAAAGCTGCCACGTCACCACCCAAAATATGTGCAGATATGGATAACCACAGCATTCCTCATGTCTGAGGCCTTCATTGGTCATACAGAATCTCCTTTAATAATTCTTACATGGATATATAAGGCTTGCGTATGGATTGTTGCCTTTTCCCTTTCCTAGGGTACATACTGGATAGGCCTTTACCACCAAATGTAGGATTTGAAATGGAAAGGAGAAACTGATCAAATATTCTCATTTTAAAAATTCTAGAAATTCAAAGAAAGTCTCTGGAATGTTGTAGTGAGTGGGTAGCCCTAATTTACTAAGGAAACTAAGGCTAAGTATCTTGCTCAAGGACCATATAGGAAGTAAATGGCAAAACCAAGACCAGGGCATTTGGATCTATTTCTGAACTCTCTATTCTGTCACAGTGCTACACAATCTCTCTCTTTCTTTCCGTCTTCCCTCTCTCTCTCTTTATAGAGAACTAGCCTCAGAATTAGGAAGACATGGGTTTTCAAGATACTCACAGTGCCTCAAGTAAAACTCTGAGACTCTAAATTTATAGATGAGTTAAAATGCCTTAATGGAGGGAGTTTCCATAGAGACAAGCTAAAATACACAGAGAAACACATATATAGATATTTTATCACAGGAATAAGAAGCTTTTAGAAATGCTGCTTTTGAATATCTATGTTAAAGCCTCGAGGGGGAAGTTCTGTCCCCTTTTTACCCCTAATCACCTTTCCTCTGCTTCCTCCATACACTATTTTTTTTTTTTAGAATCTTGACTACTCTTGCCACATATATATTTCACTGTTACTTTATCTGGTTCTATATATTATCCTATTAGTACTTCCATCAATATTGTATTATATCCAATAAATTTACTTAGAAGGGGGCACTGTCATCTTTACCATACATAATCTAATCGAGAATAAGACATAGCTCTCATTTGTTCAATAATTACTTTTGCCATTAATGTTTTGTAACTCCATTTATGTAGGTCTCAATAGAGGTCTATATTCCTTCAATTAAGTCTAACTCTGATGCCTGTGGAGGGTGACCCTGGATTCTCAAAGACTATGCTAGTAGAGTACAAACTCGGGAAGAGCCTAACTTAGAAACTCTTTGAGGTAGGTACCAATACTATCTTCTTAGGACTGGTCCAGCTAAGTTCAGAGAGGCTCCTTGCCAGGAGGCTGGGCCACAAGGATGACAAAAGTTTTTGGCCATTACAACTCATGAAGAACTTTCTACTAAGACATGGGAGGGCCACAATATTAGGTGGGGAAAGTACTCACACACGAGTGAAATCAACTTCAAGTTGTGAAGTGTTCTACATTATATTATTACCCAAATATTCAATTTTTGGTCACTTAAAATATAATTTTTCACTTTATCTTTCAGCTGTTTATATCTAGTATGCAGAAATACAATTTTTATATATTTATCTTTAACCTGAAAGTTTAATGAATTCTATACTTGTTTTAGTATTTCCCTACCTCAAAAGTATTCCTCTTGATACCTCAAGGTATAAACGCCACCTTGAATCATAAAGCCTATGTCAGTAGAGCACAGGCTGTCAGGTTCTACTCAACTGAAAAGAATTTAAGTTTAAGCCTGGTGAACACAGAGTGCTGTCTCGGGCATTCAGCCTTTTTTAGGCCGTAAGTCAGAGGGAAGTTTGGCAAACCTCTTTGGTATGTCAACACTAAGTAGGGTGAAGAACACCACCAGCATCCATGTGGTCAACTACTGTGGCATCCATCTTGCCATCTGTCCTGGAATGAACTTTTGAGCCTGAAGTTTCTTAGCTCCTGCAACTAGGTTTTCTCAATTGTCTCAGGCGTTCAGTACTGTGATGACATCTTGATGTTAACCTGACCCAGATTTTGGTTTATACTTGTTCACCTTACCTTAACCTCCAGATTTGGACTCCAATCAGGGATAGGCAGGACAACTTGCCATGCTAGGTAGCCCCTACAAGGGAACTCCAAAGTCCATGGTGCTGAGGGGAATATTTGTCCTCAGATCTCTGCTAAGCTGGCAATGCTATAAAACACTTTTACATTTCTGAAGGCAGGCCAATCAAACTCTGGCCTCATATAGATAGCATCTGGAAAATGCTAAGCATTTTCAGACACTTAGTTCATGGTGGAGAACTCACACACACTCCCTAGCTCATTATAAATTGTTAAAGACCTCTGACTTTGAGATGCCCTATGGAAAGGACCAACTTCACCTTGTGGTATCCCAATTAGGGGAGCAAGCACCCTTGCGTCACTAAAAAGAGCCCCCAATTTTAATTTTCAGTGGTAATACCTTTTAAAATACTATTTTATTGACAATTTTTTTCTATCACCCTACTAACAAATACTTAAGAGAAAAAAATCAGTTCAGCAAAAATAACCGACGCAGCAACCATATCTGATAGTATATGCAATATTTCACAACCATAGTCCCCAACCTTTGCACTGAAGGGGAGAGAGACCCTTAATTCATTCATAATATCTTTATAAGATTGAGCCTTCACAGATTTTTGCTGTTCCCTTTAGAGCAGATTCATCTACTCCAGCAGGCATAAAAGATGGGAGATAAAGAACATCAGCTCCTCCTGAAACCTACTGTTGTTGTGCACCTTTCGTACTTGAAGAGGACCCATAATATTACAATGTTGGGGTCAAGGTACAGTGTGTTTGACTGTGGCTGATCAGTCCAATCTGAGCCTTCTGAGCTACCACAGGCTGGGCACAAATAGTCTCTTTGAACATTTGGGATGGAGATGTCTCTAGATTTGCCCATTTCATAAAACCTTTGTGCTGTGATTCTGCTTTGCTCATAAAGACAACACTGTTGGGTGGTACTATGCCAGCATCTCTCATGGCTCACAATCAATACTAAGGTTCTTCAGGGAGACCTTTAAAGTGTCCTTTTGCCACTTCTTCTGACCTCTGTGTGAGCACTTGCCTTGTG